ATATCAGGGTGCAGAGGAGTGTGTGGAGGCGCAGGTGAAGTGGGTTAAGCTGCTACTTGGGAAGTCTGTGTAACATGTATGAGTGCCTGGGATTGAGTCCCACTTCCACTTCCAATATAGCTCTCTGCTAATGTACTTGGGGCACACAGATGATAACTAAGTACTTGGAATTCTGCTGCATTTGTGGAAGACTTAGAGTTCCTGCCTCCTGGCTTTGGTCTAGAGCAGCTTCTGCTTTTGTAGGCATTTGATGAACCAGGGGATGTAATTTCTCTCTCTTCCTCTTTCCCTCTATTTGTGTGTGTCCTCTATTTCTCTGTCATCTTGCCTTTCAAATAAATAAATCTTAAAATTTTTGCATTAGTATTTCCATCATATTGCCAGAGTCTATAGAAATTATTTTGGATGAGATTAATAATAGAAGAGCTTGTTGCAAACTCATATTCTATGTATCTCTTCACAGTGCCATTTCTTTTTCTTTTTATCTCTTTCTTTTAACTCCTTTACTTTTTGTAGTTTTGGATTGAAATGACTTGAACTAAGTTCATCAATGTGGAGAGAAAACAGGAAAGTGGGATTTTCTCACTTTATTCTTGATTTGTTTATTTTTAATATCTGCTTTTGATGTTTCAAAACATGAAAAGCCAGGGCTGGTGTGATGGTGCAATGGGTTAGGCTGCCACTTGACACCAGCATCCTATATCAGAGTTCTAGTTGGAGTTCCTGCAATACCTTTCCAGTCCAGCTTCCTTCTAATGCACCTGGGAAGACAATAGAACATGGCCAAAGTACATAGGGCCCTACCATCCATGGGGGAGACCCAGATGGCGTTTCTGGCTCCTGGATATTTAACCTGGTCTGGATCTAAGTGCTGTGGCCATTCAGAGAGTAAACTAGCAGATGGAAGATTCTCTCTCTCTCTCTCTCTCTTTCAAATAAATAAATCTCTTTTTTATATATAAAAAACAACATAAAAGCCCAATTTTCAGAAGTCTACTTTGAGCTATCTAATTCTTTCTCGAACTTTCTGTATGAGCACAAAACCTCTGAGAACTATCTTGAAGCTTCAGATATCAGATATGCAGGCCCTGGAAAGAACAAAGATTTGATGGTATACATGCTATCAGCAATGTATAAAATAAATATTTCAGGTCAAAACATTTTTTCACTTTGGAATTTATACATGAAGAGAGATATTAGACAGATTTAGTGCTGACAGGGAGGCATATGTTACTAATATCCACTTATAGGCCCAACTCTCAAAAAATGTGTCCCGGGCCTGCTGCTGTGGCATAGGAGATAAAGCTGTCACCTGCAGAACTGGCATCCCAAATGGGTTGCTGCTTCAAGTCCCAGCTACTCCTCTTCCAATCGAAATCTCTGCTATGGCCTGGGAAAGCAGTGGAAGATGGCCCAAGTGCTTGGGCTCCTGCACCCACAAGGGAGACTCCCAAGAAGCTCCTGGCTCCTGGCTTCAGATCAGCTCAGCTCTGGCCATTGCAGCCATTTGGGAAGTGAGCCAGAGGATGGAAGTCTCTCTCTCTGTCTCTCTCTCTGTCTCTCTCTGTCTCTCTCTCTCTCTGCCTCTGCCTCTCTGTAACTCTGCCTTTCAAATAAATAAATAAAGCTTCAAAAAATGTGTCCTATATGAACTTGCCATTTTTACATCAAATTTCTGACTTAACACTTCAAGAAAATCACTATTAAAATGGAAACATGAATGCACTATCAGGAATAGGGTAACACATTATGCCATTGTTCTCACTAACCTAGTACGATCACTTTGGAGAGTACAAGCCATGGCCCTGAGAAAATGGTACACATGTCAAGCAAAGTGAATACACCAAACCATCCATCAGGTTTAGATGTGGTTACAAGAAACTGAAAACTGAACAATGGGGATGAGAAGGGTGGGGTGGTATGGTTGTCTTGATAGAGGACAGGGGAACAGGGCTATAGGGAGCTTTGGGGCAATATTTTAAAGGAGAAAGGTCCTTATGGAAAGCTTGGAAGACCCCATGGTGAAATCTAGCTAACTTCATTTGTTCTGGACCCATCTTGTTCTTCTGACTATCCTGATAAAAATGGCACCAAATTACATCTAGAGGCAGAACATTATAGCTTAAAGATCAAGAGTTTTAGGTCAAATAGAGCTGGATTCAAATACAGTTGTACCAGTATAGCCAAGGATGAGATGTAGAAATGAAATTACTACACTAGAAAATGTAAAGTACTTCCTGCCATGCCTGTCTGGTATCTATATGCATGCCATACCTCTATATAGAGAGATGTACAGTAGCTATAGAAAGCACATATATGTATGAATACACACATCGGTGCATCAGGTACTCACATATCTAGTATAGTCCATCTTTTTCCCTTGTTATGTTGTTCTTCAAGAAATTGGTCATTTTCTCTGTTTTTCGTTTTAGTCTATCATATATGCTTACTTTGAAGCAAAACAAAAATAATACAAGCATATGAAAGAAAACATTGATGTTTCTTTTGTGCTATATTAAAGTAAAAGTTGACAGTTTTATTACATTTTGTGAAAGATTGAATAATAAACTAGAAAATAATGATGATGGTGATGCTGATAGTAGCCACAGTTCCAAAGTTGCCTAAATGTGTTAACAACTGCTTAATCGATATCAGGTTACTTATTCTTCCCAGTAGCTGTAGCAGGTAAGCATTTCATCTCCTTTGCACATATAAGGAAACCAAGGTTTAGAGTGGTTATGTAATTTTCCCCTACACCCACAACCAGTAAATGATAAAGCTATCTGACACAAAAGCACATGTTAGGAAACAAAGAAAAATTTTTTTAATGAAAATGCTTATTTTGGCACAAAAATGTTGAAATCCATACACAGTGTTTTTTTTTTTTTTTCATGAACTTTTTGAAGACCCGTTTAGGCATGGATTTCAAAATTGTTTTGCACCAAAATGAACATCTTTTAATTCCATTTTCCATGAACCCCTTTTTTGGGGGGGCACAATGGGTTATTTATTTGAAAGGCAGAGTGACAAAAGGAGGAGGAGATCAGAGGAAAAGAGAAATCTTCCATTTGCTGGTTTACTAGCCAAATGGCCACAATAGCTTTGGGCTGCGTCAGGCCAAAGACAAATGCCTGGAATTCCATCCAGGTCTCCCACATATGTGGTAGGGACTCAAGTACTTCAAACATCATCTGCTGCCTTCCCAGGCACATTAAGAAGCTGGATAGGAAGCAGAGGGTGGGGACTCATACATGCACTTTGATATGGATGCAAGCATCCTAAGCAGTGACTTAACTCATTGTACCCACTCCATCCATGAGCCTTTTGAGATACCTTCATCCTCCATGACCACAACCAACCAATAACCTGTGGCTGCATCCCTGATTCTCAAAGTTCCCCTTTAGCAAGAGCTCCTCCTTTCTCTATCATTGAGATAGCTGCCAGAGTAGCTAGCTGCTGCTTGTATATCCCATTCCCTTAAATTCTTTCTCACTAACTTTCTCACTAGAATCCTCTGCCCCCTTAGGGGTGCAGCCAAAAGTGAGCCCAGCTGGGGAAATCTTCTAACCTCTCTTGGTGAGAACAAGACCCATTCCTGTCTAAGCCTTCCAACTCCAGTAGTTTCTTGCATTGATAGACAACAAGTCTTTGAAGAATGAATGTCTGGGCTGGCGCCATGGCTCACTTGACTAATCCTCCGCCTGCGGCACCTGCACCCGGGGTTCTAGTCCCGGTTGGGGCACCAAATTCTGTCCCGCTTGCTCCTCTTCCAGTCCAGCTCTCTGCTGTGGCCTGGGAAGGCAGTGGAGGATGGCCCAAGTGCTTGGGCCCCTGCACCCGCATGGGAGACCAGGAAGAAGCACCTGGCTCCTGGCTTCAGATCAGTGCAGTGTGCCGGCCATAGTGGCCATTGAGGGGGATGAACCAACGGAAAAGGAAGACCTTTTCTCTCTCTCTCTCTCTCTCTCTCTCTCTCTCTCTCTCACTTTCTAACTCTGCCTGTTAAAAAAAAGAAAAAAGAAAAAAAGAATGAATGTTTGGTGGTGAAATAAAACAGGTTAAGTTCCAGATGTAGAAATAAGACACTGTTGCTCAGGCAGAGAGGTTTACCAAGTAAAAACTGTAAGAGATTTTTCTGTAGAAATAATTTTAGAAATGGCAGTTAGATCTTACATTTCTATTAATACACTGAAACAATATTCAATGAACTTTCAAATTATGTAGTAGATGTGATTTTCCATAAGAAAATGCTTTGGAAGGGCAAAAGTTTTCTTCAGGTTTATGAATGAATTTTCAGAAAGCAACTATTCACAAATTGAGGTTAACTTCTAAGACCATTAATTTGTCAGTTATTTTTGCTTGTATCCTCTTCTCACTGATTAATAAATTTATAAGTAACATGAGGTCAGAAATTATCTTTTATATTACATAACAATCACCTTATTTCCAAATCTTTCTTCTTCAAGCTATGCCTACACCAAGCAAGCATTCTTCATAGTATCAAAAAAATTTGTGGATTAATTGCTTAATTTTGAAAAAGATATCATTCACTGCAAAAAATGGTTTATCCTGAGACACCTAGAATTCTCACTTCAATGTATCTTTAACTGTGAATTATAATGTTATAAATATCTTTGGAATATTAAATATCTCCATTAATTTTAATTGATGTGATTATACAATATTAGATAAAATGGGTTTATTTTATAAAAATAGATTTAGATGCTTATCATTTTTCACTTTGACTTATAATTTAGGGGCACATTGTTGTCTTTAGAACTCTAATTCTAGGAAACACTCTAGAATGGCCTAATATCCCAGCAGTATATTAATTTTGATTTTTAAGTAGTTTGTTCAAGAGTCATTTAGGATGACCTAACTACTTGCCTGTCAGATGGAGGAATGCTGTGACTGGGGAGGAGGGACATGTTTCACATATCATTTGGGTGTAGTGACATAAAACTACTTAATTCATAAAAGACAATACTTTGCCTTTTCAGATGTAACTGTGTGGAACCACATAATCCCAGCAACGACACTTTGAAAGAATGGAGGGAGTCCAATATTTCAGCCTCTGACATTATTTGGGAGAACCTAACTGTGTCAGTAAGTAAAATATTGAAAAGTAAGTCACATCTTGACATCTTAAGTCACAAATTATATCTTGACATACTGAGTCTTATTACTTATAGGGGCTTTTATTGACATTTTGAAGCTATTTATTGCTACTAGGGTAAACTTTTTTAATGTATAGTAATTAAAAAGGGATTGTTTGGTTTCCATATCAGATATTCATCAGTAACCTAAGGGTTTCTTTTATTATTAAGGTTTTTCTGATAGTAAGCGTGAATTGGTCTAAAAGCACACATATGCAGAGTATGACTGAGATGAACTGAAAGCCCATTTAGTATGAGTGGTGTTGACCTAAATGAAACCATATGGCAGAAGTAAGTCTGCCTTCTGTGTAAAAAACCTGGAGCACTTTCACTGTACACTGTAATACTGTTCCAGCTGTTCAGAGTATACTGAGGGGGAGGGGATATTTTAAGGTGTTTTAGTATAAATACTGAAGTCTTTGGGAAAAACAAAAGTAGTTTTTCATAACAAAATTCTGGCATCTCCTTCAATAAGAGTTTCTTTGCTTCTATTTTGTTCTTAGCTGCCACTCAAGAAAGGGAATAGAAACATATTTTTAACCTTAACAGTTAAATCCTGTACCTTTTGTTTTATTTGCTCTGGCTTTTCTCCACTTTGTAACTTTTTTTTCTCATAGCTGCTTTCTTCAATTCTTCTTAATATATTATAGTATTTGCACACTTTCTTTCCCCAGCTACAGTTGCATCCTTTACTTCTGTTAAATGAAATCTTACAATCTGAAAAACTGAACATTTTCTGCCTTAAATAAATATTAAAATCTAAGTGGCACTTGTTTCTTTCTAGTCTTCTCAGTTAACAAACATTACAATCCTAAGCTTCTGCCACCTTCTCTACCTTTGTAAATTCAACCTCCAATGTAAACATCAACACAAAACTATATGAATTCATTTGATCAAACATACAGTATTTTAGTAAGTGGGCTAGTAAGTGAGCATAGAAATCTTTTTTGTTTTAAAGATATTATTAAACTCTAAACATGATTTTTGTAGGACCAAATAATCTTTTCACTGTTTTCTCAATATTCCTTATTAAATGTATTCTTTCAGAGTTGAAATTGAATTACTTACTTGCTATTTAAAATTCTTTCTTGACCTTTATTGCCTTTATTCTAATCCTAGTCATTTTAATTACAGTTAAGACTCACTTACTCTTGTTTGCTTCTGTTATTATTAATGTTTATTTTATTCCATTAATTTTTCCTTAGAAAAGTAGCCTAGCCAGCCTGCATCCAGTCAGAGAGCCATTTAAAATGATGACTAAAATAATTAACAAGCCAGTCCAAAAAAGACAGATATCCTATGTTTTCCCAGATCAGGGGTAATTAATAATAATAAAGTGTAATGTATTGGAATGAAATGGACATTTTGAGATTTGATGACTGTTTATAGCCCTTGTCTCTTCTGTTGAGGAAGAGTGTTGTTTTTGTTTTTGTTTTTATTTGTTTGTTTCTTCATACTATTTGTGGAACTCTTTTGCTTAGTGTAGGGTTACCCTCCTGATCATTAAGTAAAGTGAAAGTAAATCTCTGTAAAAATTAAGAGTGGGAATGGAGGCTGGCGCCGCAGCTCACTAGGCTAATCCTCCGCCTGTGGCGCCGGTACCCTGGGTTCTAGTCCCGGTTGGGGTGCCGGTTCTGTCCTGGTTGCTCCTCTTCCAGTCCAGCTCTCTGCCATGGCCCAGGAAGGCAGTGGAGGATGGCTCAAGTGCTTGGGCCCTGCACCCACATGGGAGACCAGGAGGAAGCACCTGCTCCTGGCTTCGGATTGGCGCCGGCCATAGCAGCCATTTGGGGGGTGAACCAACGGAAGGAAGACCTTTCTCTCTGTCTCTCTCTCTCTCACTGTCTAACTCTGCCTGTCAAAAAAAAAAAAAAAAAAGTGGGAATGGAAACGGAAGGAAGAGAAAGGTTTAGAGCATGGGCGGGAGGGAAGGGAGGAAGGGAAGTATCACTGTGTTCCTAAATCTACATATATGAAATACGTGAAACTTCTATAACTTAAATAGAATTTTTAAAAACCAAAACAACAAAATAAGAATTACTGAGCTTAATAAGAAAGAATGCTACAGTTAGTCAGAATTTTAGACATGGAGAAGCAGGCATTTAGCCTAGTGGTTCAGTCACCCACATCCCGACTCAGAGTACCTGGTTTTAATTCTCTGCTGCAGATCCTGACTCCAGCTTCCTGCTAATGTAGACTCGGCAAAGCAACGGTGAGGGCTCAAGTAATTGGATCCCTGCCATCTCATGTGGGCACCTGGAATATACTCCTGGTTCCTGGTTTTGATCCTGGTTCAGCTGGTCATAACCCTAGCAGTTGGGAGCATTTGGGAAGTGAACAAGTTGATGGGAGTATGCTCGCTCTTGCACTCTCTCTCTCTCTCTCTCTCTCTCTCATTCTGCCTCATAAATACATACAAACATACACAAATAAATAACAAACATGGATTATGATTATGATGGATTCATTCAGTAGTGGGTCTTCTGTTTCTCACCCTTGTAAACTGTATATAAAGAGTCCCTGGCTTATTTCCCTTATCTTCAAGTCCCCTTCAATAGGAAAACCCAAAAAATCCTGTCTCTAAATTATTTGGCATAGTAATTTACTCAGTGTTTGTATTCTCTGAATAATTCAATGCTAAATAATAATGTTAATAGTATTTATTAGAAAATCCCGAATAGCAACCTTCTGAAAGACCTACAGCATGATTGGAGTAGTTATGAGTACATTTTATATATTAGAACTCTTAGGGTATTGCATAATGCAATGAATAATTTTTGCAATCAAAGCAAATATAAAATTGTAGGATTTCTTCCTTAATTTTAAAAGTTCTTAGACTAGGTGTTAACACTTGGTAGAAATCTTTTATTAGTTAAAAGCAGTTTTTGCAATAGAAATTGCTATTTTTTTTACCAGAAATATCTTGTATCACCAAAGGGAATGCTTTGTAATAAAAAAAAAATCTTGTGATAATTTTAAATCAATGAAGACCATTAAAATACTTGTCTTAATTGTTACACTGTTTTTTTTTCTCAATATGATCATCACTGTCTTCAAAAGAGTTTTATTAATGCAATATTGTGATAATGGCTATTATTACCATATTATAAATATAGTGATATGATATAATATTCATTTGGAAGATCCTGAATTGTTTTCTTGAATTCTTGCATTTTTAAGAATTATAATTTTTATAGCATGCCAACTCAGCAAGGGCAAAAAAATTATTTTTCTTTGATTCTTCCAAATTGCTGTACATGGTTAGTGTTAAATATTTGATAAATACTTAATGCTTATTTGAAAATAGTTCTATCTCACATATTTTCTGCTTAATTCAATTATTTCATGGCAAGCTAGATTTTTAGATTCTCAATATATATATTTTTATAATTCAAAACCAGCCATTTTAAGGAATCCGTAGAAAGCATTTAAAATATCCGCAAGCAATTAACTAGCAATTGGTTAAAAAATGTTTCAGTGACTAGATTACATATTTAGCTTGTATGTACATAAGGGGCAGGATGTTAATTGCAACTTTAATTTCTTATTTTATTGAACATAATTTTTGCCAACTTATAGAATTATTTAAGCTTAGAATGTGTTTGAAGAGTAATTAGTAGAAATCAGTTTGTCAACAAGCATTTTTTAGTATCCATTGTTAGTCAAACCATATGGTAGACTCAAAGGAAAAGAGTAGAGTTTGGATTTGTATTCACTTCTACATTTTAGGACTTCTCTCTCTCTCTCTCTCTCTCTCTCTCTCTGTGTGTGTGTGTGTGTGTGTGTGTGTGTTGGGAATAACAATATAAACTTGACAATAAATATGAGACTTAGTAGGTCACACATTTCCTTTTTAAATTAATATCTTGTCCTCTCAAAATGAAGAAAAAACAAATGACACTTTCAAATTGGCTTCCAATTAAAATAACTAGGTGGGCCACTGGCAATTTACTATAGATAATAGGACACTTACAGAAGTCTTTACCCACAGCACCACAACACTGCCCCGCTAGGAGTCTTTAATGGCACCTATGTTCTTTTTTCTTAATTTTTTTAATTTTTTAAAAATTTATTTGACAGGTAGAGTTATAGACAGTGAAAGAGAGAGACAGAGAAAGGTCTTCCTTCTGTTGGTTCACCCCCCAAATGGCCGCTACGGCCGGTGCTGCGCCGATCTGAAGCCAGGAGCCAGATGCTTCCTCCTGGTCTCCCATGTGGGTGCAGGGGCCCAAGCACTTGGGCCATCCTCCACTGCCTTCCCGGGCCACAGCAGAGAGCTGGACTGGAAGAGGAGCAACCGGGACTAGAACCCGGCGCCCATGTGGGCTGCCAGTGCCACAGGCGGAGGATTAAGTGAGCTACTGCGTCGGCCCCAACACCTGTGTTCTTAAGAATTGAAAACTAGACCCAACAATATCCAAGGGTGAAGTTTTTTATAACTGCAGAAAACACCAATGGTGTTCACAAATCTGCAGATACTATGTTTATTACTGAACTTGTAGCTTGTTTTGTTTTTAGTCATTCTACTAACCCTTTGCTTAGTGAATACTGGCCAGATCAGGAGAAAAGATTGAAAATCACAAGGACTAATTTTTTTTCTACTTTATCTATTTTTATAAAATTTTTAGAATAGGAAAATTAAAGCTATAATTAAGGCCTGGGGGATTTTTCAGCACTTTTTTTTTTTTTTTCAATTAGTCAGGTTACTGTGCTCTGTATTAACATAACATGGATAACTGGGATTCAACTTTAGCTAGCAAGGAAAGTATTTGCAGTTACATTAGGAAAAGGGGACAGATTCTTTTAGAAAATTATAAGGTGTTCTAACAATGTTTCTTAAGAATCTTAGGCTCAAGGCAGCTGTTCCACATAGATTTTACTAGTTTGCTTCTTTTTGAATGATATGTAGTTATTTGTCATTTATTCTAGAAATTTTGGAAGGCGTTTGTTTTCTGCTATACAAGGATTCCAGGGCCTGAAGTTTGATTCATTTGGACGGACTTTCTGTTGGTGATCAATCTGTCAGTCTCTATATTTCTCTAAGGTCTCTCTGAACCACAGCACAATTCAGTTTCTGTTCAGGGCCAGTTTAAAATATTTAGTTTTTCTTTAGAAAATGCTTTGACTTTGCTGCCACCTCATGGCTAAGGCAGTGATTAAAAAGAATTCTTCAAGGGCTTATGGAAATGAAGTACCAGAGGGGGAAAAAAGGTTGTGAACAAGTTGAGGTAAAGATGAGTTTTACCTTGTTTGTATAGTTATTTTTTCCATCATTTGCTCTTTAAGTTCAAGAGCCTCATCTTTGATTTATAATTTCATTTCAGCAATTGTATTTTATGGTTTTCTTACTGCCTTTCTATCTTGCTTTCTTGGTGTTTTTAGTTGGTGATTCTATGAAATAATTGTTCTTCTTTCATATGCGATAATATTTGCAATCACAGGAATTGTGTTTGAATCACAGTTCTGCTACCATCCAGCAGTAGTGAGGCCACAACAAATTTAACCTCTTTTTGCCTCAGTTTTCTCAAAAATTTAATATAAATAATGACTTCTACCTATTTCACAGGCTTGGTATAAAAATTCAATCAAATGGTGCATTTAAATTACTTGGCATAGTGTTAGATGTTAGGAACCACTTACTGGAAAATATATCTTGTTTCCAATAAATCTAATGTTAAGAACTTATGTACAGTAGTCCCTAATTAAAAAATCAATTAATTTTAAGGGTTTAGTTTTATTTGTGAAAGTAAAATTTAAAAAGTGCTTCATGGTAGAACTGTACACAATATGAATTTTTGATGTTGCTCACTACCTAAGTAAATAGAATTCAGAAATTATAATGACATTTTTAAATCTTTACAAGAACCGAAAATGAAAACCTTTAGCATTTCAACTGCAGTTGATAAGAAAATGTCAGAAAGAAATGCACCCAGTTTTTTTCCTAACAGCTCTGTCTTCTTTACTTCCTCCGGCAGGAGTGCAAATCACTGCACGGGGAGTACGTCGGCCGAGCCTGCGGCCATGACCACCCCTACGTCCCAGACGTCCTGTTCTGGTCGGTGATCTTGTTCTTTTCCACGGTTACCCTCTCAGCAACCCTGAAGCAGTTCAAGACTAGCCGGTATTTTCCAACCAAGGTACTTAGAGTATTGCTCTCCTGATGGAAATGTAAGCCAACATATAGTAGATTATGAAATTCTATGTGTTTCATGGGAAAAGAAAGAGCAATTGATGAAATAACTGAAGCTACAAAAAGGCTTTTGTGTGAGGGAGCTGCCAATTTGTGGGGGTTTGGGAAAAGCATTTTGTGATACAAGTGCTGGGAATGTACAGTCCCTGAAGGATTTTCTCTGAACTGCAATCCCCAAAGATCATCTACCACATTTCTCATTTGGGTTTTTGGAGATTCCAAGAACATACTGCATTACTGATTGGCACTTTATTGCCCAATGAACAGTGGGAACTATTCCAGCCTAACAGATACCTTGGAGGAACCACTGTTGTGTTCTTTAATTGGGAAAGCCCCTGAAAGACTCCTTGGAATACTATTCTCCTTTTCATTTTTAAGATGTCAGTCCCTCTCCCAACCTACCATGTTTGCATCTGCATATTTGGAAAGGAAAGTAAACAGAGAAACAGCTTAGTTCAATATTTAACACTGCAAAGTAACACCTATAATGTTTGATTCCACAAAAATAAATAAATAAATAAATAAATAAATAAATAAATGAAATCAAAGAAAGGAAGCAAGCCTTTTAGTGAGGTTATGTGATCAAAATTCCACTCTGGAGCCGGCGCCGCAGCTCACTAGGCTAATCCTCCGCTTTGCAGCGCCAGTACACCGGGTTCTAGTTCTGGTCAGGGCACCGGATTCTGTCCCGGTTGCCCCTCTTCCAGGCCAGCTCTCTGCTGTGGCCAGGGAGTGCAGTGGAGGATGGCCCAAGTCCTTGGGCCCTGCACCCCATGGGAGACCAGGAGAAGTACCTGGCTCCTGCCATCGGATCAGTGAGGTGCGCTGGCCGCGGCGGCCATTGGAGGGTGAACCAACGGCAAAGGAAGACCTTTCTCTCTGTCTCTCTCTCTCACTGTCTACTCTGCCTGTCAAAAAAAAAAAAAAAAAAAAAAAAAAGAAATTCCTCTCTGGGAAAATGCTTCAACAACTGCTTCTTCTACAAGGAGCTGGATTGTTGTTGTTGTTACCTCCTCCTTCACTAAGATGAAAATACATTTAATTAATTAATTAAAGATTAATACAATATTATTTTTTGTAATTAGAATAATCTCATTTTGTGCATCTATGTCACAATGACATACCAATAGAACCATATCTTATTGATAATTATATAAGGATATTTACTCAAGCAATGGCATAAGTGACAAATGGCTATAAAAAGTGGCTAATATAGAATACATTTAAAATTTTTGTGCTTTGTTGTGCATATATCCAATGGCTATGGTCATATCCTAGGTCAGCTACCATCATGCTTCTTCAGTAAGAATAGTTCTACTTTATGTTGCTTCATGTTCATCATGTTAAAATATTATTGATTAATTCAGCCAAATTCTGGCCATCCAAATGTACTTAGTCTTATAAATAGTCAAATAACATGGATTCATAATTAATTTAGATTTTAAATAAGTATTGAAACAAAATCAACCACCATGATACTCTTCCAAAAAACCTCATTCTAGAAAAACTGAGCATTTATCTATTTCAGTGACAGAGATACATGAATATATATTCAGGCAAGGCAGAGCTAATGGTAATATTATAATATGTATAACGTAATATTATGATATTATGTCATAAATTGTTTATAAAGTGTTACTCTAGATTTTGTTCCTGGATATTTCTTGATTTTATAACTCAAGTAACAAGTGTTTTCATTACTTTTAGGTTCGATCCATAGTGAGTGACTTTGCTGTTTTTCTCACAATTCTGTGTATGGTTTTAATTGACTATGCTATTGGAATCCCATCTCCAAAACTGCAAGTACCAAGTGTTTTCAAGGTGAATTTATCATCATGATCACTATCTATTAATCTCTCCAGCTGTAATGTTTTTTAGTTGATGTCTTTAACCTTCGTTCTTGGGATTTTCATGGAAACATAAAGAATATAGATTAATTGTTCAGTAAATAAAATGTGAATAGTATGACTAAAATGTTTGTCTAGTAGTTAAAGATTATGAGAATTATAGAAATAGAAGACTAAAGATTACTTGGAAAAATTCTCTGTCCATCCCCCAGTTGGGCTATCTGTGTACTATACTCCTAAAAGATGAGGAAGCATTTTAAAACTAAGAGAAATGTAATATCTTGATGCAGCATCACACAGTGGATAGGACCTGGAAAAAAGGTAGACATACATTTGTAATAGAACTCTGACCATGTTCTTATGTGAATTTGGGCTAGTTGTCCTCTCCAAGTCTCAGTTTTCTCAACTGTCAAACAGGGCTTGGACATCCTGTGTGATTAGAATTAATTCCTTTGAGACTCATCTTAGTCATCAGCCATAATTAAAACCCTCCCCTGAACCTCTGATGTGGCCATGATTTTTTTCTCTACACAATAACCTGTGTACACATTTAAAATAGCAGCTACCACATTATATTGAAATAGTTGATGTGTCTGTCAGATTCTAACTCGAAAGAAGGTTCTGATATTTTATCTTTGTAGCTTGGTTCTAGGACAGTGGTCAACATACTATTTATTTTGTTTGTTTGTTTGTTTGACAGGCAGAGTTAGTGAGAGATAGAGACAGAGAGAGTTATAGACAGTGAGAGAGAGACAGAGAGAAAGGTCTTCCTTCCATTGTTCCACTCCCCTAATGGCTGCTATGGCCAGCTCTGTGCTGATCTGAAGCCAGGAGCCGGGTGCTTCCTCCTGATCTCCCATGCAGGTGCAGGGACCCAAGCACTTGGGCCATTCTCTGCTGCCCTCCCAGACCACAGCAGAGAGCTGTACTGGAAGAGGAGCAACCAGGACTAGTACCCGGCACCCCAACTGGGACTAGAACCCAGGGTACTGGCGCCGCAGTTAGGATTAGCCAAGTGAGCCACAGCACCGGCCTAACATACTATTTGTAAATATAAATAAAATTTCCACTAGTAACAGTAAAGATGAATATTGTTTTATTTAATATAGATATTGATTGAGATATAGACTTTTGAGCCAGTCTAGCAGAGTTCCAATTCCTTCTTTAACTCTAACTAAATTTGGAACATAGGACAATTTGTTGGAATTCTCTGTGCTTTAGTTTCCTCATCTGTGTCATTTTCTTTAGGCTGTTGTGAAGAAAAAAATGAGTTAAAGTAGTTAAGGCACTTAGGATGGTGCCTGCTGCCTTACAAGTGCTTTCTGAATATCATTACCATTATCATATTATACCCCACTGAGCTTGTTGGTTTATAATTAGGGCTTTTCTGGAAACATCTGTAAGACTTAATTTGATGAGATGTTCATTAATCCTTCTAATAACTGTGTGCATTTTTTTGTTTTTCACAGCCTACCAGAGATGACCGTGGCTGGTTTGTTACACCATTAGGTCCCAATCCATGGTGGACAGTAGTAGCTGCTATTATTCCTGCGTTGTTGTGTACTATTCTAATTTTTATGGACCAACAGATCACAGCTGTCATCATCAACAGAAAAGAGCATAAGCTAAAGGTATGTTTTAATATCCAATTTAATGTAAATAATTTTGATTTAACAGATAGCAAGTGATGTTCTTTAGACTTTGCCTATATTCTGTCTTCATTTGTACAAAGAAATGTTAAAATAACATCTGAGATTCATGATTTTTGTTGTTTTACAGGATACTTTGTCTTGATGATGAGATGAAAACTTGATTGTAGCACTTGGCTGAGCTGTAAAGTCTCAGACCTTCCTTTCAGGGCTTAAAACAAACAAACAAACAAATAAACAACAAAATACTGTTAAAGTTCTCAGTTTACCATGCTTATCATTTTCCAATAAAATGACAATCTATTCTGGTGGAATCCAGCTTTACCAACTTGCCTTACCTAGGATTCTTCTAGTTGACCCCAAGTATAACTATTATGTTGCATCCATACTGGGACAAATTACACTTTCAGATATTCTCTTTTTCTTTAATTATTATTTTACCTCTAAGGACTATTACAACACCTTATAGTTTGTAAGTGACATCTTTGAGTTTTACTTCAAATTTTGATAAATTTGTTTTTACAAAAAGAATAAGTATGTAAATGTCTTATTGTATTCTGATAATGCCATTTTTGCAACTGTGAGAAATCAAAGTTGTTCACTGGTGTGCAGTTTGTCTGAGATATGTAATGTGACCACTATCACTTACAGAAATATGTTAAATAAAATCAGTGAAACCATGGAATGGTTAAAAATAATCTGAATCAAACTCATATTATAGGGGGCTTGCCACCTATCTTCACATATTTTTAAACTCTAGAGGAAAAATCATTACCAGAGTACAAGAAAAAATAGTTATAGGCTTTTATAAGTATGTGAGAAAGATTTAAAAACCTTTATGTCACTGTCATTATGATGGATACACACTCAACCTTTCTAGAATGAGGATTCATGGAATAGCTATCATGGTGGTTGCAGTGTGTTCAATATTGATGGAATACAATAATGATATAAATCTCAGAGAGCAATGTGTTTGCAATTTTCCTACTAAGAAGGAATTTTGTGTTTTTATTGGAGAAAATGTGTCTACCCTTAAACAAAGAGTGTTCTTCATTCTCTTTGTAGAATGTTTCTTAAGAATGTTTTAAATCTTTTTGAAAAGGATTTCTCAATTCACTAGTGTTCTGTGTCGAACAAAATGTTTAAATCTTAAAGATATATTTTACAAAAATATCTCATAAAGTATTAGGAACTATTCCAGTAGTGACTGGTACATGTTCTGGAGGGGAAGGGATTTACATTCTATTTATTTATTTACATTAAAACAATAAACAGACATATAAAGTTATACATACTTATTAAGGACTATATGATATTGCATTCCATGTACATGTTGTTATATGTTTAACAACTAGTTCTCTCTGTGGATAGAAAGAGGAGAAACTGATTTATAATGTTTGCTGAATTCCATGGGATGGCTGTTCCCACTATGGCTGATTTTAAGCTGCCAACACAATATCAATGGGCAGGAAAACTTTTTGAAAACTGAATAATTTACTCTCATATGTTTATGACTTGGCTACAATATCCCCTACTTAACTAAGCATTTTAATATTGGAAATTTTAATTATTTAAAAATTATTTCTCAAAATAAGGCATTTAGATTTCCAAGTTTGATAGCCTGGTTATTTACCATTGATAGTTTAAAAATATTTGCTTTTCAAACATCAAGCTTCTGCCAAAGTAAATATCACCACAATCTTATTATTAAACTTGCATAGTTAATTAAATAGATCTGTAAAACAAGTGTAAATAGTTTGTTAATATTGTGTTATTCTGTTGCTCTTTTCCTACATGCTAGTCTATTTTTTAAGACTGAAGGCATTTCTATTTTTCTGATTTTAAAGTAATGTATAATTTTGGTTTAAAAATCAAGTAAAAAGTTAAATGACAAAAGTGAAAAATACTACAATTTTCATTACCTAGGGATAACAGGTTACATTTTGATATATACCCAGGCATAGAATTTCATACTACATATGTTGTTTCTTTCTCATGAAAGAAAATTATTGTGATAATCATATAATATCAACAAGAGAAACCTGAACTATCATTTTTAATGGCTGTATGTATTTCATTGTATGACATGTACTTTAAAAATGAACTAAGAGGCTTTTGTTTTAGGAATCCATGTAATCATTATCACCCTTCAATGGAAGACATCCTACCCTTTATAATTCAGCAGAAATCCCACTAATTTTACAAAAAAATTGACCTGTGTAAAGCCCATCAGAACTGATGTAGTATTTTTTCTAAATACTAATGGAATCATATTAAAGCAAAATGTGGTGGTAAATGAAGATTTGCTGGCAGAAATCTTACCTTTATGGACATTCTGTAAAGTTGATCTTTAGAAGTCCCTCAACCTTATAAATCACACAGTCTTGTTACTCCTTAGTCTTCTTGAGCCTATATTACATCTTGGACTTTACAGTCTTTCTAAAACTCCAAATCAACAAATATGCTAATTTCTTGCTTTATATATAACTAAAATGCAGTAAAAACATTTTAAGTGGTCTTTTCAAGTACTTGTATTTATAGAATTAAAGGCAGAACTAAAGCATTTAATGTTTTGTCACCAAAATACATCTGAAGCTGTATTAGTAGACCTTTGTTATTATACAAATAGATGATTAAGTAGTCAAGGGATCATATTTGTGCCCTTAACACTCTGGATTTCATAAACAGTGGAACAAATCTGGCTTAATCATATTCTCTACTGCGACTACCACAAGCAGAAGAACCAGTCTGCTCTTGGCAATACGAATCTGAACACTCCAACCTCCTCCTTGGATGTGAATATTTTGAATGCCAGTTCTTTTTGTTGAAGACATAATTTTTCTACACCAAACACTTATTTTTGGCCTATAGCCTTGTCTTCTATAAAGCTTTACTATAGTGTGGTCTGCTGCTACTGATTTTCCTGTTAACCACAAGAACAAAAAAAAAAGGTCACCTTCTCAGAACATTGTTTACTCAGAATAATGGTTTGTTCCATAGCTGTCCTCCCTGGCTGTTGCTTCACTGAAATATTTGCAAAGTCTCCTGGCTTTGATTTGAATTACATTTTCACGAAATGATGTGTTTCTTTAATATATCCCCAGACCACAAGTTAACCACATTTTCAGCTTTTACTAAGTTTCTTTTCTCACTTAAAAACTCATTTTTTTCCATGGTCAGCATATTACGTGAAATCAGCTAATGAATCATATTTTCTAGTTTGTGTCTCAAGTCCCTTAGACCCCACATCATGTATCTAGGTCTCCACCATATATCCAAGGACTCTCAGAACTCCTCTGATTCTTTCTGTCTACAAACTCAGCAATTTAGGTATTTTTGTGTTTTTTTCACTTCCAAGTCCAGATCTAGTAGTTGATTTTCTTTTAGATGACAATTCTCCTGCCAATTAAGATGATTTTTATCATTTTATGAGTGTTACTATGTACACATTAAAGCTGTCTAGGCACAGCCCACTGGCTGAGCAACTTACTACTCTATCCAAATGAGGGGACTCAAAATTAGCAAAATTCCAGCTTACTGAACTCCATGATTCTTTTGGTCATTCAGGAGGGAAAGAAGCTGCAAATGTAAAATCTAAGAATGCAAAGTATTGTTGTCTATTAAATGTAGATATACATGTAAATTCATACTCTTCAGCATTTATTTGTTTCTTCCTAAAGCAGTAGAATGGGCATAGATGAGCTGAATCTCTTTGAAAAGCATTAAAAATCTCTGCCTGTTTTTTTTTTTTTTTATGAGTACACTCTCTCAGAGTGAAAAGAAAAGAAAGATATTATTTTACAGAAAAAGAAAGTTTCTGTAAGATACAACCATGGGCTTCTCTACATGTTTCTGTAGACAGTTCAGGCTTCTTTTGACATCATTTTTAATAAACAGCAATACAATCCGGGATCACTTGAGTAAATGAATGCGTTTGCGACATTCATTTGGCACCACATCCTCTCGATGGTTATGGCATTTGATATGTTCTTTTTTGCCCTCTTTGTCAGCCTGGTTCTTCATGTCAATCTATAGTCTTTTATGTGGTTAACTTGACAGATGCAGGAAATTGCTGCCAAGCTTTGAAATGAATTTTTTCAGCAGTGGCATCTGGGTATCAGATGGTCCTCTTGGCTGGCCTCTTGTCTTGCTGCATGTTGGTTTTAGTGGGGTCTGGTGTAGCATCACCTGTTGCTATGCTCCCTTTTCCTTCCATATGTCCATTTTCCGTGATTCATGGATGAATGTGAGAATAAAAGCTCTAGTTCTGTCTTTACTTGAGAAAAAATGTACAGAAATATGTTAGAAGGTACAGAGTTCTCTCTCTGACAAAGGGATACTTCCCTTTGGCTTGCATGCCTATCAGCTAATAATTTCGTTACAAAGACCAAGTTTTAAAAGACATTTTAAATGAAGAGCAAAGAAAAGGATGCTGATTAATTAGAGGATATGACAGAATTGCTGTTATCCTTTGGTTTATATAAATCAAGATTCTCCCATTGTTTTATAACATAACCAGAGGAAAATCATATTTTTGTTTTTATTGTATACCTGTATATTACTAAGCCAGATTTCTAAATTTAAAATCATTTCCTCCAAAAAATTTTTATCCACTTCTTGCAATTCAGAATATCACTGTTTACATTTGTATGATACTTCAAAAACACTCACTAAAAGTAATAGAAAAGCAGCATCATGACAATGACCTTGCTCATACTACCAAGCTGTAGAGAACATGGACCCTAGAAAGTCCTGGTTCTGCTGTAAGCTGTATTCTGTCCTCCTCCAATGTTCATGTTGTAGCCTATGGCACCTCTTTTTTTTAAAAAAAAAAAAAAAGATTTATTCATTCATTTATTTGAAAGTCAGAGTTACAGAGAGAGAGAGAGAGAAAAAAAAGGAGAGAGAAAGAGAGAGATCTTCCATCCACTGGTTCACCCCTCTGATGGCCACAACGGCTGGAGCTGCACCAATTGGAAGCCAAGAGCCAGAAGCTTATTCCAGGTCTCCCATGCGGGTGCAGGGGCCCAAGGACTTGGGCCATTCTCCACTGTTTTCCCAGGCCACAGCAGAGAGCTGGATCAGAAGTGGAGCAGCCAGAACTCAAACCAGCGCCCATATGGGATGCTGGCACTGCAAGCAGCGGCTTTACCAGCTATATCACAGCGCTGGCCCCTGTGGCACCTCCTATATCTTCTATCAGCTTAGAAACACCACAACTTTGCAAAACAGCTGCAAGAAACACCATCTCCCTATTATATACCTCAGAAGCAGAGGCTTGAGAAATGAAGCCCTTCATGTTCTATATCCTTATTAGTCCAGAGCCCTTAAGACTGACACTCCTCTTGTTTACAAGGCTGACTTTAAAGAGACCAAAGTTTGGGTTCTGTTTGTGCAGAGCAGTATCTTCCAAAATGTCTCCCAGAAAGGGCTAGGGTTCTGGTAAGGCCTATTCCTAGGCCTTTTGGATTGTCCCATCTCCAGGGTGTTTCTGTTCACACACTGCTGCCCTTGTGAGTGAAAATTGTTCCTTAGTGGCTTGCAGAGTTACTCCAGAGTTACATTCATCAGGAAAATTGGGTTGAGACATTCTGGTAGCATAACTCCAATCGAGCTGACCCAAGTAAGTAGTCCACTGGGTTGATGACAACCACAGGAGGGAAGATCTTTAGTTGAGTATCACCCATATGCTCCTATTGTCTCTTGCACTTTTATAATTTGGTAGGAAAGAGTAGAAAGGAAAGGAAGAATACCTGATATTAAGAATTTTTTCTTTATCCTTTTCTTAACCAATTAACAAAGCAAAATAACAGGAAGGAAGCATTACCATAACAAATATGCAACAAATACTCAATATATTTCATACCCCAGGATATATAAGCTTACTTATACAACAAAATGCTTGCAGTTTGATAAAATTTCCTTACAATATAAAACTATTCTTCTAGAATAATCAGCCAGTTCTGTCACGATCATAGTAACAAATGGAAATGCTATATTTCTTGTAAAATCATGTTTCTTTAATTCTAAGAAATTCAGTAATAGTTATTTTCTTTTCAAATAGTCAATCTTTAATTTTAAAAGTTTTAAATATTTGAAAGTCAGAGTTACAGAGAGGTAGAAACAGAGACAGGGAAAGAGAGGCCTTCCATCCACTGGTTCACTCCCCACATGGCCACAACAGCTGGAGCTGAGCCAATCTGAAGCCAGGAGCCAGGAACTTCTTCCGGGTCTCCCACATGAGTATGGGGCCCAAGGACTTGAACAAACCTCTGCTTCTTTCCCAGGTGCATTAGCAGGGAACTGGATTGGAAGTAAAGCAACTGGTGCCCATATAGGATGGGTGCCAATATGGGATGCTGGCGCTGTAGGTCAGGGCTTTAATCCATTGCGCCCCAGCACTGGCCCCATCAATCTTTGATTTTTATTGATTGCTTATATGCCATTGATTATGCTTACAGCTATGAGACATACTGAGAAATTATATGATAAATTATCTACCCTTGAGAAACATATGGTTTGGGGTAGGCATTTGGCACAACAGATGAGACACAGCATGGGACACCTGCATCCCATATCAGAGTGCCTGAGTTTGAGTCCCACTGCTCCTTCCAATGCCATCTTCCTGATGAGGCACACCTTGGAGGCAGCAGATGATGGCTCAAGTAATTCAGTCCCTGACACCGACATTGGAGACCCAGACTGGACTCCTGGCTTCAACCTAGCCCGTCCCTAGCTGTTCCAGGCATTTGGGAAATGAACAACAGATGGAAAGCTCTCTGTCTATCTCCATCTATCTACCTTTCAAATATAATGCAAAAAAAAAATAACAATTTTAGAAGAAACATCTTTATTGAGGAGCCTCGAAACAAAATGAGTGCAAGAGAGAAATGTGTTCAGCTGCTAGAATGTAATAATACCTAGCATCTACTGGGTGCTTGCTAAACAGATATTATTCTAAATGATTTATGAAGTTAACTTATTTAACTCTCATAACAATCCCAAAATGCGCCTTGTAGTCTCTTCATTATTATTTTCTGTACAGGGAAAAAGAGGCACAAGAACTTAACCAATTTGCCCAAAGTCATTGGTCAAGCCAGCATTTGATCCCAGAGATGTCTCCAGAACCCATCATCTTTAAACACTTTATAATACTGCCTGTCATGAAGTAGCTGTTAAAAATTAAAACTACAAGTTGAATGTAAAATAGGCCAAGCTTTTTGCTACCTCTGCAATTTACACTTTCAATTTTTATGTAGAATGGAGGGGGAAGGTAATGATTCTCTCACCTCTCCTTAATTTCTCTCCCCAAGGAGCCTTTATCTAATCCACGGGTGAAGTCTCCACACACTCCACTGCACTTGTTTTCCTAGTTTCTGTTTCCTGCCTCGTTCTAGGAAACACTCACAGTTGTAATACCTAAAGATCAATGATAGTGGAGTAGAATTACAGAGTATACAAAAGAATACAAAAGCTATCATTTTATTGAGAAGCTGAAATGGAAACAAATGAGAGAAAGATGGCACCATATTAAGATATGTATCAGGGATCTCAGGAGCTATGATATTATTCCAAATAAAAGCCACCCATGAGGCAAAAGAGAACAATTGGAGATTAAATGCTTAAGTAGATTTTGTCTCTACAAGATCTGATATGAAGGACTTCTTGGGTATTGTCAGGAAGTGGTTTCTCTTCACAACCAGGCCATCCTTAGCTTTGTTGTTGATACTGTTCCTTTTCAATCTTTCTTTTTGTAACAGAAAGGCTGTGGGTACCACCTGGACCTGTTGATGGTGGCCATCATGCTTGGGGTGTGCTCCATCATGGGTCTGCCATGGTTTGTGGCTGCCACCGTCCTCTCCATCACTCATGTCAACAGCCTGAAACTGGAATCAGAATGCTCTGCTCCAGGAGAACAACCCAAATTTCTCGGCATTCGGGAACAAAGGGTTACTGGACTTATGATTTTTATTCTTATGGGTTCATCAGTCTTTATGACAAGTATTCTGAAGGTAATAAAGTCTACCTTTGTGAACTTGAGAGCAGGCAGAATGCATCATGGTTTAAAAATTTCATTTGAATTCAAGCAATAGGTCTGAAAATATTATGTAGTATAAGATGAAAACGATTAATTTATTTGCCATGTTTATACACTTCCTACTAGCATAAGGGAGAAAAGTTATGTCCTTTATTTTAGAATTCTTAAATGCATACAAATTTAATTTGGCTAAGTAGAATTTGAATATAAATTGTTATGACGATTTTGAAATGATGATCAAGCTATGGAAAAAAGTCACTCATTATTTCTGACTGACTTGTGACCTGAATTCCCAACAAGCCTATACAAAATAAAAGTTTTCCATTTTCTTGTCAGTGGAAGATGTATGAGCAATTAATGTTGCCTACTCTGTGATAGAAGTACAGAAACAAGCATGGTCATGCTCATGGTCACATATGCAGTTTTGTATTTTAGGTATTCCATAAAACTACTGCATAGACATCATCACTGCACATCGTTACTTTTTCCACATTTCAAATAATTGAATCCATTTTGTAGAGAATAACTATTTTGTTATGTAATTTTGGCCAATATTTCTAAATTGTGTAAATTGTGTTTTAAGTTATAATTCACTCTACTTGCCCACGTTTTGGAATCTCTAGGTAACCTGTTTGGCACTTTACACAAGTTCACTTGTGTTTAATTATTTATACAAGTATTTAATTATTTATATATTTGCAAGAATTAATTTCTGTTATATAAGTAATTGTCTAATAGGATAATGGTTAACTATTCCAATAAAAGAGAAAATTTGAAATCATTGAATATTTACAAATACCTGTTGTGATGTTAAAACAACACCTAAATGTTAGCTTTATTATTCACCTATCCTTTTTAAAGATTATTTATTTTGAAAGTCAGAGATAAGAGAGAGAGGGATAGACACACACACATACAGAGAGAGAGAAAGGGATCTTTCATCCATTGATTCATTCCGCAGATGGCCACAGAAGCCAGGAGCCAGGATCTTCATCCGGCTCTCCCACAAGGATGGCAGCATTCCAAACAGTTGGGCCATCTTCCGTTGGCTTTCCAGGCCATCAGCAGGGAGCTGGATCAAAGTGAAGCAGATAGGACTCAACCAGCACCCGTATGGTTTCTGGCATTGCAGGCAGTGGCTTTACCCACTGTGTCACAATGCCCACCCCTATTATTCACTTTTTAAAAAAAAAAAATTATTTATTTGAAAGAGTTACACAGAGAGAGAAGGAGAGGCAGAGAGAGAGAGAGAGAGAGAGAGAGAGAGAGAGAGATTTCCCATCTACTGGTTCACTCCTCAAATGGCCGCAACACCTAGAGCTGAGCCAATCCGAAGCCAGGAGCCAGGAGCTTCTTCCAGGTCTCCCATGCAGGTGCAGGGGCCCAAGCACTTGGGTCATCTTCTACTGATTTCCCAGGTCTTAGCAGAGAGCTGGATGAGAAGTGGAGCAGCTGGAACTCAAACCAGTGCCCATATGGGATGCCAGCACCACAGGCGGCAGCTTTACCAGCTAGGCCACAGTGCTGGTCCCTATTATTCACATGGTGTTTTAATAAATTTTGACCTATAAAATATAACAACCATTTTATTATCATCTCATTTTAGAAATTGGAAAACTAAGGTGCTTCATCAAGCTTAAGGGAGCTTAAGTAACAACTGAAGATGCTAGAGCTAAAAAGTGCTAGAGCTAGACTTTGAACTCATGTCTTCTGGTTCTATACTAAACTGCTTTTTTTTTTTTTTTTTTTTTTTTTTTTTTTTTGACAGGCAGAGTGGACAGTGAGAGAGAGAGACAGAGAGAGAAAGGTCTTCCTTTGCCGTTGGTTCACCCTCCAATGGCCGCCGCTGCAGCCGGCGCACCGTGCTGATCCGATGGCAGGAGCCAGGAGCCAGGTGCTTTTCCTGGTCTCCCATGGGGTGCAGGGCCCAAGCACCTGGGCCATCCTCCACTGCACTCCCTGGCCATAGCAGAGAGCTGGCCTGGAAGAGGGGCAACCGGGACAGAATCCGGCGCCCCGACCGGGACTAGAACCCGGTGTGCCGGCGCCGCAAGGTGGAGGATTAGCCTAGTGAGCCACGGCGCCGGCCAAACTGCTTTTAAAATACATTTTTGGGGGAGGGGGACAGCACTATGGCACAGGGGTTTAGCTCACCACCTGTGATGCCAGCAACCCTTATGGGCACTGGTTCCTGTCCCTGCTGCTCCACTTCCTATCCAGCTCCCTGCTAATGCACCTGGGAAAGCAACGGAAGATGGCCAAAGTCCTTGGACCAATACAGGCCTCAGCTGTTTTGGTCTCTTGGGGAATGAACCAGCAGAGGAGTATCTCTCTCTCCCCCAACTCTCACTCTGTAACTCTGCCTTCAAAATAATAAAATTAATCTTTTAAGTGATTCATTTTAAAAATATTTTTATTTGTCTGAGGTGAAAAAGTTTCATGTATTTCGTATATACAGATTTAGGAGCATAGTGATATTTCCCACCCTACCCTCCCTCCTGTCCCCCTTGCACCCACCCTCCTCCTTCCTTTCTTATTCTTCAAGTTTTACAATGACATACTTTCAGTGTATTTTATAATCATAAGCTTAACCCTCTATTAAGAAAGAATACAAAAAAAGTAGAAAAATGCTTTTTTTTCTATTATCTTTTTTATAAGTACAAAATAGCACAACCACAATCTGTTTGAAAATAACATATGCCTTTTCTTTAATTATTCTTTTACAGTTTATTCCCATGCCAGTGCTCTATGGAGTGTTTCTTTATATGGGTGCTTCATCTCTAAAGGGAATCCAGGTAAATCACTTACAGCTCTGCAGGCACATCTGTGGTGACTCATCTTAAATCTATTGATGCTAAGTCATGTGACGGCTAAGAAAAGCGCATCAGTTGAGGAGCAAGTTTCAGGCCGCAATTTAATTTCTTGAAACTTGTCAGAGTTACAAAAATTAAAGAATCTAGCAACTCAGGTTCATAACCTTAGGATACTTCTATTTACCCCAAGTCTGTTAAACCTCTGAGAGGTTTCCATTTATAGCCCTTGTGGAAGATGAATGGCAGTATATTTCAAGATACCCAAATACTTACAATCTTTGAGACTCTAATAATGTCTATGGACATCTATCCATGAGAATAAAAACACCTTTACCACCAAGATTTTCATGCTAATATATACTCTTTAAAATATTGGAAATAACCCAATTATCCAGCAAGGGTAAAATAATTAAGTAATCTATGGTATATTCACTGAAAATTGGTAATTACGAGGACTGCAAAAGTAACATGATACAGATATTTGTGGTGTAATACAAACTGAGGGAATGTCAGCCATAAATTCAGAAAGCTGTGAGCTTGAGTAAGATTAAAAGGGAGGTAGAGAAATAAAAACAATATGTTAAAAAAAATGAGATCCTAGATGATGTTATTTCTTTTATGTTTGTTTTCTGTTATTATAACAATTGTATTTATAAAATTATTTTAAAATTAATCTTAAAATAAGGATATATAGGGTAAGGCAGTTTCAAATATAAGGAAACCATATGCATTGTTTTAAATATTGGATAAATATTTTGCGTATTATATTAGCTTTCCATTGCTATGTAAAAATTACTGTATAATTTAGCAGATTGGAACAACACACTTTTGTTACCTCAGAGTTTCGGCGGGGTGGGGAGAGTCACACATTTGGGAGCCATTTACCTAAGTGGTTTTGGCTCTAGCTGTCTTATGTGGTTGATGTCAGAATGGAAACAGGCAGCAGTCAACCGAAGGCTTGATAGTATTGGAAGATCTACTTCCAAGCTGGCTCATCACATAGCTGTGGGCAGGAGGCAGTAGTCTCGCTCTGATTGTTGGTAGTAGACCTCAGTTTTTTGTCCCAAGATCTCTTCATAGGATACTTATACTTATGTTGTATCCTCATGACATAGAAACTGATGCCCTCAGCATGAGCAGGGAGGGGGAGAGGGAAAGGGAGAGAGAGGGTATTAATTAAGAAGTGCTTTTTAGTTCAATCACAAAATTGTGCATAGTCACAGTTCTGTTTGTTGGAATTGAGTCACTACTAAGTCTAGCTTGTAGACAAGAGGAAGGAAATTACAGTCCATCTCTTGAATAGAAGAGTATTAAAGAATTTGTGGATACATTTGAAAATCTCTAATAGTGTATTCTACATCTTTACATAGGTTGTTGGAAAATTCTTGTAGTTTTTATTTTGTGATTCTACTGTCAGTTGAATAGTGAGTATTTCCTTAATGTGAGGTTCCACATTCTGGAACCTCGGAATGTGACCTTATTAGGAATTAGGAGCTCTGTAGATGCAATTAGATACAGATCACACAATAAGATCATCATGGAGTTAGGGTGGGCCCTAAATCTAATGACTGGGATCCTTAAAAGAAGAGAAGAGGACACAGAGAGTCCCATGGAAGACCAGAAGAAGAGACTAGAATTTTGCTGCCACAAACCAAGGATGCCAGGAGCCACCAGGAACTGGAATATGCAAGGTTTTTCTCCCCTGGGTCCTTCACAGCAGGCGTAGCTTGGAAACATCTTGATTTCAGTGTTCTGGCCTCCCCTCCACAACTGTGAGAGAATACATTTCTATTGTTTAATAAACCCACAAATTGTGGTAATTTATTATATCAGCCTTAGGAAACTAATACAGATTTCTACTTAAATTTGCCTTGGAATAATCTCGTTTTGCAACAACATTATGTTGCCAGAACAGCTAACTTTTCTTGAAAAAAAAAAATAGAGACTTTTTGTCGTAAAGTACAAGTTTTTTGTCAATTAAAAAGAAAACATAATTGTAGCTTTTTCTGTGACACAGCTAGACTCGGCCCTGTTCAAGGATCTCCACGTCTGCATGAACAACTAAGCAGCCTCTGGCTTGGAAGGAAGCAGCAGCACCTATGCCTTATGCAAGTGCTGCATGTTAAAGCTGTGGGATCACGGGACACCCAGAGTAGACAGATCCTGACCTTGGGTAGCATTAACTTGGGATAGGGAGATGGTTGAGAACTGTTGTGTTAGAATTTTACTCAAGTTATATTCAATTTGCCCACTTAAAATTTCACATATAAAAAGTGTGTTTTGATAGAACTGACTTGGGTAAGGCAGATAGGAAAAAAGTTCTGAAGTTGTTTTATTTATTTGTTTTGCTGCTTTTTGCCTTTGGCAAAAGTTCCACAAGTACTACTTTCATCTGAGAGTGAAAAGTATTTATTATTAGGCCCCAGGCTCACATAAATACAGCAGCAAAAGTTTAAGAAGCAAAGTAGAATCATTTTGATAGACTTCAACAGATTTTTCCCCCTAATTCTACCCACATGCTTTTAAACTCAGAATTAAACAAAAATGTCAAGTTTTGTAATTATTTGGGGTGTGAATCTTTCAAATGAAAATTGAAGAAAACATTGTTAAAGGTCCATGAGGTAAGTACAGTGAGTTTTAAACAGCACAAATAAAACAGCATGCTGGGTCATGCATCAGCAAACGTTCTCATGCTCAGAAACAGGTTAATGAAATTTTCTGAGTCTGCAATCTCAAGCAGGGAGTTGAAAACATTTGAAATTTATAACTAGCTAGATAGGCAAACGGGATATGGATATTAGGAAATGATAAAAACCAAATGCAACACTCAGAATTTATTTACTTAAGTGTGCTATCAACAATTCAAGGAACATGTTAACTTGTTACCCTTTAGGTTGGAAGAATCTATGTTATTTGATTGCTGGGCAATATTAAAAACCTTATCCAGGTTTCCCACTGGAAAACATGGCAGAAAAAAATAGATCACTGTGTTCTCACGAATGCTGTTTCTGTATTCAGATATATAACCACATCTATATGCGTTCCAACACTTCAGGAATCCAAGTAAAGCAAATGTGCCATTTAAACAATAACAATTGAAGCACCCACACACTGAAGTACACTTATGCAATAACAGCTTCACAAATGGAGAGATGGTGGCTAGGAAAAATGGGTTCTACAGAAACAGAAATATTCAGTTATGGAACAGAGGATTTAATTTTATTTTTTCCTTATTTCCACCTTCATTATGCACCAAGTTTTATTTGTTTAATGGCTTCTAATTTTAAGAGTTATTTAGAAAGTAGAAATACAAAAAGACCTAATGGTCTGTGCATGGACTATATGGAGAAAGATAATCCAGGGATGGATTCAACACGTAGTTCTCTGTGTAGAAGGTGTGAATAAATGTTTTGGAAAGGTACAAGTGAATGTGAATAAATGAATGGATAGTGGATGGACTAAAGTGCATTTTTTTCTGTTGTAGAAGAAAGGTTAGGTGGACCATGAAATAGATCACAGAGGAAGGATAAGTTATGTTGAATTTAAGACTCTTATTATTTGTACCAGTAGGTTTTGGTGAGATAGAATGTTTTGACTGTATCACGTGGACTCCATGGACATTTGTCTCTTTGCATAATACTTTTGAATATTTAATAAGAATTACTTATAGTCTTCTTATAAGTGACCTAAGAAGCCGCAGCTCACTAGGCTAATCCTCCACCTGAGGCGCCGGTACTCTGGGTTCTAGTCCCGGTTGGGGTGCTGGATTCTGTCCCAGTCGCTCCTCTTCCAGTCCAGCTCTCTGCCATGGCCCGGGAAGGCAGTGGAGGATGGCCCAAGTGCTTGGGCCCTGCACCCACCTGGGAGACCAGGAGAAAGTACCTGGCTCCTGGCTTCAGATCAGTGCAGCGTGCCAGCCGTAGTGGCCATTTCGGGGGTGAACCAACGGAAGGAAGACCTTTCTCTCTGTCTCCCTCTTCCTCACTGTCTAACTCTGCCTGTCAAAAATAAATAAATAAATAAAGTGTGTAACTGAGCTAAGAAATAAAATCTAATGTAATTCTTTTGAGCATGCCTATCAGTGTTTGAAACCATTATTGTTTGAATAATCACCTCTTGTTGGAAACATCAAGACTGCAAAAATTGGCCTGAGAAAAATTAAATGATTCACATTAATAAAGTCAACTTGCTTAGTTGGTTAGTAAGTAAAATGTGACTAAAGATTTAAGCTTCTTGTGAAAATTAATTTATAAAATTTGATTTGAGAAATTGTGGTTTGCTAGATAAAAATGGCCTCAACACTATGATGATAATATTAGATAGCCCAAAAATAATAGTACTATCTTTATAGAAAAATTGATACAAAATTAACACTGAATTGACAAAAATAACATTGATTGAATGGAAATTGTTTTAATAAATTGAAAAATATATGTTTGACAGCGACAGGAAATTAGTCAAGAAACTAAATTGAGTTAACAAAGTTTGCTCTGGAAAACACTTTACTAACAAATAATCTAAGTTAAATTATTATGGTAAAGATGTTTGTGTTTGTGAAGACAGCATCAGAAATTTTGCTGGGAATCAAAGTATCAAGGTAATAACAATATAGTCAAAGTAAGGAGGTCAAAACATCCTGTTCAACAGCTGGATGCTGGTTTGGAGCACAGGAGAGAGAAGTGAGGCAGAGGGAAATAGCTGGGAGTGGTTAGCAGCTGTGTGCAAACTGAAGCCAGAAGAATGGGTGAACTAGACCCGCAGAGAAGAGGACAGAGCATGGGAGTCCAGGAGGGGCTTTATTTTTTGCCACTCCAAGTTAGCAACATTTAGCATTGGATTTATTATTTTGAACTCTTCCAAACTATAAACTGTATCAATAATCAAGTAAAATGGGGTATTAACTGAAATGTTAATATTTCACAGTATAATCATAACAATCCCATTATCCTAATGTCCAAATATCTACTTTAGTGCGATCTATTGTATGAACTTAAAATTTTGGACTATATTAAACTTCTACTCCCTTTTCACCTTAATAAGCAGATTTCTTTTAAAAAAAGTTAATAGACATAAAATGTATGCAAATGTTTGGAGTACTATGTAATTTTGTGTTACATGTGTACATTGTGTAACATTCAGTCAGGGTAAATATGTTTAACCTATGAGGCACTTAACATTTCTTTATAGTGAAAATATCCATAATCCTACCTTCACTTTTTTTGGGGGAAGAGATAACACAGTACATTAATAAACTTCTACTTATTCTACTTTTATTGTTGTCTTAATCCTAAAAGCAATTTAGTCTGTTTAATGTTTTAGCTCTTTGATAGAATAAAGCTCTTCTGGATGCCTGCAAAACATCAACCAGATTTTATATATCTAAGGCATGTGCCCCTTCGAAAAGTCCATCTCTTCACAGTTATTCAGATGAGTTGCCTTGGCCTTTTATGGATAATAAAAGTTTCAAGAGCTGCTATCGTCTTTCCTATGATGGTATGAAACTTTTGTCACTCTTTTTCTCTTCCACAGGTTTTCTGGTCTCTTGGAAAACACATGAACTGAAATGGGACAATAAAGCCATTTTGACCAATTATTTGGAACCACAGAATAAACTTTGGCACTAAAACTAATAACAACATAGGATTTGAAGAATATCATGAATTTCAGGGATTCGTATTAATTTTGTCTCCATCATTCTGAATCTTTGTAGTAGTTTGAACTAACTGAAGCTGGATAGAAAAAAAATGTAAACTTTCCACATTTAACTGGAAAGATGTACTGGCAAATCTGAAAAGTTAGGGTTATTTTAAAATGAAATTTGATTAATTTTCAAATACTTCAAAAACTATAGTGAATTTGAATGATGAAATAATTTTTAAAATTATCAGCATAGGTTAGAACCTTCTACATTTAATATAGTGTGAACTCATAACAACATGTATTTAAGGAAACAGTCAAATACATTTTAGAAGGTTTTTTTTTGCATGTGTAATGAAAAATCACAAGTTTATTTTTTTACAAACAAAGTGCTGGATGAAGAAGGCACCAATGATCTTAAAAGTTGAGTTGAACATGATGGCGCTTCATGCCTTTGTGCAATCTACATCTAGGAAGCCGTAATAGGTCTTTTAAATGAGCATTATTAAGTAAAAAAAAAATTACCATTATTCTAGGGATGCAGTAGGAAAAGGAAATGAAGGAAGCAAAATATAATACAATGTTTCATACTTATAGCTTCAGATTTTACTTTTACTTTACACTGGCTTCTTTCCATAAAAAAAAGAGAAAATCTCTATCTCTGATTTTTATTTTTTGCACCTTAAGCTTTTTTTTTGTAAATTTCCTTCAGGTTTTAGCCCTGGTATTCGTAAGAAAGTTGATGGACTTCTTATTTACCAAACGGGAACTCAGCTGGTTGGATGACTTAATGCCAGAGAGTAAGAAAAAGAAACTGGAAGATGCCGAAAAAGAAGTAAGTCAGTGCAAAAACCAGTATCTCACTAAATTACTGTGCATTGAATCTTCAGATAGTTAGTTATTACTCACAACCACAGCTGAACTACTTTGAAAGTTTAGAGTTTAAAATCATAAAGATTTAAGTTTTACATGAAGAATGCATACCCTAGAGAAATTTCAAAATACTTTGTACATTGTTACCATTATTATAAGCCTTATTTTTCTGATTTATCCCCCTTATGAAGGCTGAAACTTGCCGATGCTTAACTATTTCCACATAATAGTCATGCAGAGATTCCTTTTTGGTTGAATATATGAGAAGAAATAAAAGAAGCATTATCACTGTTAGCATTTTTCAAGGAACAATGTTTTAATAATTCTAAAGAAGAAGTAGTTGTTCTTAAAATAGATGAAATGCCTAAGAGGAAAAATATTGATCTGATTTGCTTTCAAAGTGATTTAAGATTGAGTAACTGAGAAACTCTTGAGATTTAATTACTTTCAGGGACTACTGATATATCAACTCTTTAGCTTCGTATGTTAAAACAATTTATCATAATTTTAATAGCTTATATGAAGTTTGTATATAAGGCTGAATTCATATTCAAGGGTGTTTAATCATAACATTCTTAAGTGTATAAAAGCTGTAAAGAACATGGTAAATAAAAAGAAAGCTTTGTTCAACATTTAGCAGATTGATTGAGCCCATAGATTGTAAAATATCAAAATAAAGTTTTCATGTGAATAGAAATGAAGCTGAAAGAAAATACTTGGTTACAGTTGTACATTATTCTGTTTTTCATGTTTCTATTTCATTCAGTTTCCTATCTTCAGAACATTTCCTCAAACCATGGATATCTTTCTCTCTGACTTTTTGGGAATTCCTTGCCAAGTGTTTCAGAGGTCCTAGATTTTGCTCATTTAGTGAGGTCAGATTAGGTAACAAAATCTAATAAGGTTTCTACTCTCTTTCTACTAGCATGGCTACATGATATGTGAATGGCAATTCCTTTACTTTTCCATTATATCCCATTATGGACAATGGATTTTCTCATGTAGAAGTTGATCATGCTGATGTATCTGAATCCTGTATGAATATTTTTAATTTCCTTAAATGTTATACAAGGCATACATAGAGTCATGCTTCTAGCAATATTAATGTAACATTAAAATATTGTATTATAAATTTATTCTTAGTCTTTTAATTTTTCTGAATTTGATATATAATATTCTTATTTTGATTAGAGATTTTTTTAAAAAATAATATTTTAACAAGGAAATTACTTGTTAGGGTCCTTCCTAGTAATTGTTTGCTGTTATCCACAAACACTATTTAAGAAAAATATGACAGATTTGGCACAAATTAAATTTAAGTAAAATGGATATAAGACTATAGAAATTCTGAAGCCTTAAATTATCCATACAGTAAAAATTATTCTGGTGGAATAGACTAGCAACCTCTCCAGCCATATAATCATCTTTTCTATGGCATTTGTCATAGGACTTACTGATTCTATGAAACATTCTTGTTCTTAGAATATCACAAAATAAAAAATTATATATAATCTATAATGTTTAATATTTTCTATAATATAATTCAAAGGAAATTTCAGATTCTCCTTTTATTTGTGCATGAAATAGAGAGTAAGTTTATGGGAATCATTAGTTTTTAATTTTTCATCCTCATTGCTCAAAAGCACTCTCCTATAAATGCATATATATGTAATTTACATGTATGTGTGCCATGTGTCTTTTATTAATCTCTTAGGGTAGAGATCCTATGAAATGAGCTTCTAACTTTTTTGTACTTTATCTCACTGTAGTCCAATGAATGTTTACTATTTTCTGATTATGATGGTACATATTTTAGTAGTAGCTAAATATTACTACATTTGTTATAACTCACTTTCTGAAAGGATACAAACATAGATTAAAGATTCACTGGGGCAATTTTACAGCTTAATCTCTCAGATCCAAGTATGAAAAGTGCCTTGCAATACATTCACCAGGCAGGTTTACATATTCTTTATATCTCAAATGGATTAATATGATGAAACTTTCATGTGTACATGAAAGTACATGAAAGAAACAAGAAAATAAGTACATGAAATAAGCAAGAAAACCGTTAATACAGTCAAGAAATAATCCATAATTAATCATTAAATATGTTTTGACTGGTACAACAATAGATAATTCTCCATCAAACTAGAGAGAAAATGGCAGGTTTAAAGGTTTTACTTTCTAGTTTGGAATTAGTGTTAAGACAGTCTGACCAGTAAAGAGAGTAAAAAGATTTAGGAAAGAATACACTAAAACTTATATCCCTGATTGGAAATTGGTTGCCCAAATCTCAGTATCTTATTTTGAGGCTTGTGGAATCCACTAAGAGATGTGATCCTCTTTTGGTATCTTACACCAAGGCCCAGTCTTCCAGGAGAATCTGTATTAAGGTGGTAAACAGACAAGTTTTCCGGAAATGTTGCATTTCTGCAATTACTCAAATTAATTGAGTCACTTTGATCATGATCTGGCAAGATGGTAAATAGCAGTTATGCATCCACTCCCTGAGACTTGAATGTGAAGTGAGCTCACCTTTTGTCCCTTTGATGATAGTTACAAGCTTGTCCCTTTATTCTCCAGGGTTTTCCTATCAGTAGCCCATTTCTGGTCTTATGGCACTGAGAAAACATTCATTTGACCTTAAAATTCAATAATGAGTTAAGCAGAATAAATAGCTACACAGGCCAGTCCAAGGTCGCAGAGCTTCTGTTCCAAATTTTCATGTACTTCATGCATATGCATATGCATATGCTTCAGTTTTTAGAAAGAAAGGATTATAATCAGGGTAGAAATGAATATTGGAACCCTGACATTTTGCACATTGCTCTGTGTAAAGGGAAGACTGCAGAATCAAATTCTGGATGTCCAAATGTGCTCCGAGCACCAACATGCCTTTCTTCTCACTTAAATATTCTCTGGGACATTGCACACATTTGACAAAAGGACTACTGTTGAAACAAGAAAATCCCAGCAGAATGTTTGCTCTTGAGCAGGGGGACAAGGTGGTTAATGTTAGACCAATCCTAGAAATTCAGTTCTGTGAAAATGATCATGCTGTTGATACTTCTTGTTTCCTGAGGATTCATTCTAACATAGACACTATAGGAGAAAACAGAAAGAGAACAAGTGGGGTCTTGTGATCTGCGTAAAGCCAAACCACAGAAAAGGCCAAGAAAACGCAAAAAGCAATTTAAAAAGAAGTGCAATTAAACAAATTACAGAGGATATCTTACTGCAAATAAAGGACAGGATTTGTTGTGGGTTTGGGAAGCATGGCCTAATTATTACACAGACAAATGTCATTTCTAACTGAATCCTACTGTGGTACAATTATATTCTTCTTCCCCAAGTAGTGATTTTCCTAATTATGGCTCTAGAACTTCTGCTGCATTAGCCAACCAGTGCCTGGCAACTTGTTAGAATGCAAATTCTTGGGCCCCACTCCAGACCCATTGACTCAAACTCTGAGAATGGGGGGCCATCAATGTGTTAATGAGACTGCCAGGTGATTCTGACACATGCTAAAGTTTGAGTAAATTCTTTCTGAAAGCCATAAAATTTGAATCTCTAGAATACAGTCTTCTATATATATTACTCTGTCAGAATTTTTGTATTAATAATAATTTCTATAATTACGGATACTGAATCAAATATTCTGATGAAATGATGTTGTGTTTGTTTATATGAATTCCACATGGACCCTCCATGTCCCACCTCCAATTTTTCCCTTTGAGTTTTCATCTATTGGCACTTCTTATGTGTTGGAAATCCTAACAAATACTTCTAATAAATAATGTATTATTTTCAAAGTTATGTATAAATACATAAGTGAATTGTAATTTTTTACACTACCACAAAATACATGTGCAATTCAGATTCACAATGTAATTTGATATATAATACCTTATTTATCAAAACACCAGAAATTGACTCCAATTTTATTTTTCCACTTCTACTCAACACAGGCCTGGCTCCAACCAGACTAGCTGTTCACTATCATGTGAACATATCTGCTTCTACCTTATAAACTCAGTCCACTTGTTTCCTCCCAGCTAGAATTCCTTCCTTTCTACATCTGCTCCTGTTCTTTTCATGGTAATTTCTCATATCCTCCGAGAGTGGATTGTATAGATTCCCTTTCATTGTTGTATCTCAATGTCTAACAGAATATCTCTTTTATATAGTGCTTAATACTTATTAGTTGAATGGATTTATTAATAGCTCCTAGATTGTTTTAATCCACTATGTGCTTAGCACATAATACATGCTCAGTACATGTTTAAGTGCTACTGAAGAGATTCATTTTCTAAGCTTCAGTTGCCCTGCCCTTTACTGGTTATAGCATCAAAAATGTCCTTTATTTACTTTGTATTTGGAAAACACTTTGACTATTTTAATTAAAAGGTGGCATTTCAGTCACAGTATAAGTATTTCTATCATCACAGTGACAAAACCCCTCAAATATTCTTGAGTAAACTTTGATCTTCTTCCCTTTAACATATTCACCATGCTGTAGAACTCAACATACTTTTGATGGATGCTGTGTAAATGAAGCCCTGAATGGAACTCATTTTAGGATACTTCTGTGGTGGACACCCAGCTGGCTTTGTTCTCATTCTCTCTGTTGCTCTCACTCTGTCTCCCCTCCTGTGTGACTGCGATGACATAGGTTGTGTCTGTCATGATGGTTAGTGCCTGATTTGATTGCCCCCACCCCCATAAAGTCTCACTTTTTGGCTTCCTCACAGTGCTGCCTGGGATTAGCCGACCCTCTATCCCCACTCTGGGGCCCACCCAGCTTCCTTCTGGCACTTAAGGCAACGGCTGCTCTGCCACCCTTCTCTTCAGATAAGCATGGCTTGGAAATGCTATCTTTAGAGGTGATGAGTTTTTGTTTGGATAGAATTATGACTAGTATAAAGCCCACGCATGCTAACAAGCCACAGAGTGCAAAATAATTATTGAAAGCAATTTGAGAGAAAAGTGGAAAATCATCTGAAGAAAAAACAGAATTGTTCACAAAGATTTGGTCCAATTCTTTTTTTTTTTTCTCCTGTTCGATTGAATCTTGAGGCTTCATTTTCTGCTGCGGGGTAACCTAAATATTGACAGCACTGTTCATCTCATCAAGTTCTTTGGAATTTTTATTAAACCTTTCTATCTGACTTCTTGACAGTTTATTCTAAAATGCACAGGAAAAATACTGTATACTAGACTTACTTTTTCCATGGACAACTAAGGAAAGACCGGATTTTGCTTGTATCTTAATTTTACTTATACAGCCTTTGAGGTCAAATGCTGATGGCTAAATGGCTTCTTGGCTTTTCTTTATCTCTACGTGTGTGTTAAGCTTACTTCTCCCATAGAAAAAATAACCTTTTATACCTGCAAGGATACATGTGCTTTATCCATGGCCACTGCAATGTATAGCTAAGTCAATAGATACATGTATTGTATTTCATACATCATTACTAGCCCTTTTGCAAGGCATACCTCATTCTAGTATGTAGATTAGCTCTTCTTAAATGCTTCAATGGACAATTTCAAACCACTGATATTGTCTACTCATCTTGAGTTAGTTCTGATAACTCCTGCCAAATGACAAAGAGAACATGCATTATACACAGGTAATAAAATACACATGACAGCCCCTAAAAGAAGAATTTTTCTTGAAGAACAGCAAAGAAAGAGAATAGAAATAGTTCCTAGACTGCAAAGTTGTAACAGATGCATGCCATTAGTGGAGTGTGGCAGTGAAGGGCTAAGTATTGGAGACCTGAGGAACAGCCTTGCCTTGTAGGAATAACAATGCCACCTACGGTCATATCTCTCTGGCAGCTGGTTTAGGCCAGTGGGACGAAAGTGAATTTAGGCCAGCTGATTTAGGTTAAGCTGGTTAAGTTGGTTTAGGCCAGTTTAGCTCTTTGAAGCCACTGAAATAAGGAAGGAGGCTTATACCTATTTTCTCTCATCAGTTCCCATTAGGGCAGGAGGCCACCCATTTCTTTATGCCTTTACATGATAAAATTCTATTTCTGGAGTTAGAGTCAATAATTCTAACAATTTTAAACAGCCTTAAATAATTCTTTGTACTCAAACAATGCTAATTGACCCATATGAAGAGAATTGCTTTAAATGAGAACTATAGATAACTTTCTTTTTTTAGTGCATGGAAAAAGTTAGATGACAACATTATTTGAAAACTAAAGTAGGACATTTCAGTTTAGTAGCTGTAAGATTATCTTCATTTCATACATGAAGTTTTAAAATGTTTTATATGAAGCAGGCATTTGACCTAGTGGTTGAGACGCCTGTTCCCACATCCAAATACCTGGATTTAACACCTGGCTGTAGCTCCTGACTCTTTCCTGCCAGATCCTGGGAGGTAGCAGTTGATGGCTCAAGTAAATGGATTCCTGGTATGTACATGGTATTTGAGGAGTGAACGAGCAGATGCTCCTAACCCCACCCTTTCTGCTTCTCAAATTAAATTTTTTTTTACCTATAAAGAAGTGTGTATATGAATATATAAAGCATTCCACTTTGGGTAAGGGTGCCATATTGTCATTTTAAGAAGAAATTTGAAGTGTAAAATAAAAGGCCTGAGATATATCTAAGAGGAGTCCATCTACTCTGCTTCCTTCTCCCCAATTCATATTGGTGTGTTTTTTATTTTAATTCTTAATAAGTTTTTAACAGATTCAATGTTATTTGTAGATACAATCCTAAGACCTGCCCCCCTCCCTCACTCTGCCTACCTCCCTCCCTTCCTCTTCTCCTTTTCGTTTTTTTTTTTTTTTTTAGTTTTTAAGATGACATATTTTAAATTTACATCATCAAATAAGAAGTTTAACAAGTAAAAAGCAAAAAGGCCCTAGTTTAGTGGGAATATAGACAATGGCTATAAACAATAATTGAATGGAAAATGACCATTTCACCCATATACTGTAAATTTTAAAGTAATCACATATCATCAAAACTATAGTAGTATGTCATTCTTAACCACTGGTTTGATGAAAGTTGTAAAACAAAGTTTTACAGAACTATATTTGCAGCAATACTGATATACACCAACATTTCTTTCTTTTTTTCTTTTTTTGTTTGTTTAAATTTTAGCTCCCACAAGTAACAGTATGCAGTATTTGTCTTTCTGGGTCCAGCTTATTTCACTTAATATGATGTCCTTCAGTTATGTTTATTTAGCTGAAAATGGTAGAATTTCAGTCTTTTTTATAGCTGAATAATATTCCATTGTGTATTTATATCACATTTTCTTTACACATTCATTCATCTGATAATGCATGGTTGGTTCCAGATTTTGGCTATTGTGAACAGTGCTGTTATAAACATGGTGGTGTAGTTATCTCTGATACATTGTGTTCAAGTCTTTTGGATATATACCAGTAGTGGGATTGCTGGGTCATATGGCAGGTCTATTTCTAGTTTTTAAAGAAACCTATGCAGTGTTATTTACCCAGTGGCTGCAGTAATTTACATTCCCATCAACAATATATAAGTGTTCTTTGTCCACATCCTCCTCAGCATTTGTTATTTTCTGTTTTTTGGAGTTTAGCCATTCTGAGAGGGATGAGATGATATCTCATTATGGTTTGGGTATGCATTTCTCTGGTGGTTAGTTATTTGGGGCATTTTTTCATACATTTGTTGGCCATTTGTATTCCTTCTTTTGAGAACTATCTATTGAAGTCCTTTGCCCATTTCTCAGCTGGATTGGTTGTTTCTTTGGTGTTGAGTGTTTTAAGTTGCTAATATATTCAAAATGTTAATCCTCTGTCTGATAGGTGGTTTGTAAACATTTTTCCCATTTTATTGGATTTCTCTTCGCTCTTCACTCATTTCTTTTGCTATGCAATAGGTTCTGAGGTTGATTTTGCTTTTGTTGCCTGTGCTTTTGGGGTCCTGTCCAAGAAATCATGCCCTAAACCAATGTCTTGGAGTGTTTCTGCTGCATTGTCTTCCAGAAACTTCATAGTTTCAGATCTTATATTTAGGTCTTTGATCCATCTTGAGTTGATTTTTGTATATGGTGAGAAGTATGGATCTAATTTCATTGTTCCACATATATACATCCAGTTTTGCCAGCACCGTTTGGTGAAGAAATTATCTCCAATATACTGTATGGTCTGAGCTCTTATGTCAAAAATCAGTTGGCTGTATGTATGTGGATTCATTTTAGGGCTCTCCAATCTGTTTCATTCATATTTGTATTAGTTTTTATGCCAGTACCAAGCTGTTTTAATTACTGTAGCTTTGTAATATGCTTTGAAGTCAGGTATTGTGATGCCTGCAGCTTGTTTTCTTGTTTGTTTATTTATTTATTTTTTTTGCTCAGGATACTTTGGTGGTTTGATTCATATACAAAGATAATCTTCAACAATCTCTTTCTAATCTAGAGCAATGGTTCTCAAAGTGTGGATAGTAGACCAACATAGTCAACATCATCTGGAGACTTGTTAGAAATATAAATTGTTGTGCCCTCTTGTCGCTCCCCCTCTTCGTGGAGGAATGACACAGGACCCTGCGCTGTTCTTTCGTCTGCTCGGCCCTCCCCGGGTTTGCTGCTGGTTCTTCCCGGGTTGGCTACTGTCCCTTCCACCTCCGTGGAAGGGCGGTTCCCCCTGCCACATTCCCCACTTCCGCAGGGGAGCGGCACACCGCCGGCCGGCTCTCTCGGGGGCTGCACAGGTGTTCCCCTTAGATGTTCCCCTTAGATGTTCCTGGTGCATGCCGTCTCTCTCCTCCTTTATAGTCCTCCTCTGCCAATCCCAACTCGGCTGCCCACACGCCGAGTACGCTGCTCTCCTCCAATCAGGAGCAAGTCCTACAGTTTATTGGTTGAACTGGAGGCAGCTGTGTAGAAGCTGTTTTCTTCTCTCCCAGCGCCATATTGTGGGAGAGCAGGTGCATAGAATAAGTCTTAATTCCATTAACTTAGTCTAGTCCGAGCTGCTCCCCACACCCTCTCTAGTGCAGATTTACTGAATCAGAACCTCTGAGGCTGAGGTCCAATCATCTGCATTTTTAACAAGCTTACCAAGTGATTATTAAAGTAAAAGGAAGTTTGAGAACTGTCTCTCTATGTTCCTAATCTAATAAAGCATTCAGAGAATGTAATTTCAACTTTATAACAAAGCTGATTATATTACCCATACATTTGTCCTTGTAAAATTTAGAATGATTTTTTTAATCTGCTTGAAATTAACCAGGTTTTATATTGGGTGACATGCAGGAAATTGTTGTTAGCATTTAAATTACTTTGTGTTATGAGACTGTCATTAATTACTTACATTCTTGGTAGCTGATGCTTTCTTGAAAGGACCCGTGCTAGCATTAATAAACGCAAACAAAGTGGAAGGTCCTAGGGTTAATGAGATAATGAAACATTAATCTATGTTTCTTCTTTAATGTAAAATAGAGACTCATCAGGTTCACTTTCTGTACTTTACATTTATGTTTCCAGGAAGAACAAAGTATGCTGGCCATGGAAGATGAGGGCACAGTGCAACTCCCATTGGAAGGGCACTACAGGTAAGATATACATTTAAAAAAGTACCAATTTAAGTGATGAAATGTGTTGATATTTACTGTATTTAGAAATGTCATGCAGTGTGGATCCCTTACATGTTGGTTGACATTTTGTTAGCATAGAAACAATTGGAACTAGGAACTGGATCACTCGAGTCCCAGTGCTAAGTTCTGCCAGTAACAGTTATGTGGCCTAAGTAGCTGAACCAGGGTGAGTGAAGCACTTCAGGGAGCTATTGTCTGAAGTGTTTTCTGCTCATCTTTTATAATGATTTTCAAACATACCATTTATATTCTTAAAAGGTAGTACCTAAAGAAAGTCAAGATTCATATGACTTGGTATAAATGAACTGGGGTATCATTAAGTTGCTCGCAGATAAATGTTTCCACTCTCGGAGTTTTCCCCTAAAAAGGTACTTTAAACGAGATGATCTATTTCTTGAGTTGAAGGATTCATTCATATTAGTCATTGTAGGATATAATTATAGAGTTTTCCAGAATATACTGATCATCCTTACACACAAAGACATGGCAAGAGAAAGCAAACGCCTATATGTTGTAATAAAAAGAAAATTTCATCTATGAGAGTACTTCAAAAATGGAACTAAAACATAAGCTATTTGGGTGCAAAAAAATTGAAACCCATGCACAGTGAGATCTTCAAAAAGTACAAGGGAAATGAGTATTATGAAAAATATGTATGGACTTCAAATATTTTACATGAAAATAAACTTATTTTTATTCTATTTTTTAAAAACTTTTTGAAATACCATTAGATGTATCCAAAAAACTCTCTCTGGCACTATCTACATATAGGTTAGTTTAAATCGTTTTCCTGTACAATTGCATTTTATATACCATTTAGGACCCAATTTTATGGTTTCAAAGTGCTTAAAGACAAATGAAGGTTATGCCAGTAGAAAAGCAGAGCTTTCTCTGAGGAGAGAATTTGTCATTGTGCTAAAAAAAAGAAGAGGATATACTTGATCCTCAGAATCTTACTCCAAATCCCATTCCCTAGAAGTTATGGAAACATAATTTTCTATCACTTAAGGATGAGCATAAGAATAGCAGGCGTTTTCATTCTTTTTTTCTGTTTTCTGTTTTACAACATTTAAATTTTAGAATACTGTTAATTGTTCTTTTGAATCAGTATATTCCCAAGTGCGTTCTGTAGAAACCCACTCTCATGAGGACACACTCTCAAAAGGGCTTTGTAGTTAAATTAGTTTGTAAAATATTCCATCATGCATTCCAGTTTGGAGAGGCACAATGTACACTGGTAGGTAAAACAATCTAAGTAATGTTACATTCTTTTCAAAAGTTTAATTTTGTTTAATTCAGCATGTTCTAAACTCTTCTCACGAGATTGTCACATACTATGAAAAGCATGTATCCCACATTTTGCTTTTTTGGAAGTTTGTTGATCTCATGTTTTGAGTATCTTTCTAGGCAGAATGAGGTCTGGAGAAATTATAGAAAGCAAAGAATACGTTTCCAGAATGGGCTAGGGAATGAGACCCAAGGTTTTTCTTAAAAGTTGGTATCGTTACCCACTGTGAACAACCACCATGAGGGTCAAGTGGGCTCAGGGTCTGATCTCTGAAGACCATGACTTTTTTCTTCAACTTTTATTTAATAAATATAAATTTCCAAAGTACAACTTTTGAATTATAGTGGCTTTTCCCCCCATAACCTCCCTCCGACCCGCAACCATCACATCTCCCACTCCCTCTCCCATCCATTCTTCATCTTACCTGCGTGTATGTAGTAAAAACATGGCTATGTTCTTTCTTACTGAACCTTTCTTTTACTTGGCCTGTGATTTATTGCTCTTGCTCTTTGGTAGTGTTTCTAAAGCCCGGGGGATGTGATTAGAGTCCTGAATGTTATCTATAATTGGTGACATTTTAAAATGCAGGAAAAAAACCCACATGACATAGTATAACCCTAATATTGTAGGTTCCCCTAGCTGTTTAGAAAAACCTCTCTCAAATATACAGTGTGCATTCATTTATTCCATAAATATTTGTTAACTGAATAGCAAGTGGTCAACTCTGTGTAGCTCTTGGAGAAACAGTGGTGAACAAATGCTCAAGAATCTTTATCCCCATGAAACTCATATTCCAGTTGAATAGAGGCAGAGGAGACAGAACATAAACAAATGAATAAATGATATAAGACAGTATTTCAGCAGAGGGAAGAACAAGGATAAGGACAGGGTCCTGGGGCAGCCACAAGTCTGCAGGGTCCCAGAACAGTTAGGAGGCCATTGCACTGTGGCAGGAAGGAGTGGTAAGGGACACAGTGACAGGAGGGCAAAGTCAGAGTGAGATAGGACAAAGCCTTACTGGCTGTTCAAAGGACTTAGCTCTTACTCTGAGTGGGAGCTGCAGCAGTGTCTGAGCAGAAGAGAGAAGTGCTAAGACTGTGAGGGACAAAGGCCCAAGTAGTGGACATCTATTATTTTCTGTAATTTGGAATGAATTCAGAAAATTACAACCCAAACCAATATCTATACAACTAGAATCTTTTTTTAGAATTTAACTTTCATCGATTTTAAAAATAGAGAACCACTCAATACTTCTAAATTTTAATTGCATAAAATGCTTTATAATAAACAAAATGTTACACACACACACACACACACACACAGTGGAACATTATCCAGCCTTAAAAGGGAGGAAATTCTGGAGATAGGCTACAAAAGACATGAACTTAAGTGTGCAGGCCAGTCAAAAAGATGAAGACTCTATGACTTCGTTTACAAGAAGCACTCAGAATTTTCAACATCATAGAGACTTGGGAAAATGGTGGTTGTCAGGGGCTGGGGGAAAGGGACACGGGCAGTTATTGTTTAATGGGTACAGAGTTTCAGTTTCACAGGATGGATAATGCTAGTGATTGCACATTATGAATACATTTAATAACACTGACCTGCACATTTAAAAATGGTGGGGATGGTAAATTTTATGTGCATTGTACCACAATAAAAATTTGGGAAAAAGTACTTTATATAGTAATATGGCCTTACAGTTAGTTTCTATATTGAACAGCTACAGTTACTTTTTCAATACTTATTGTTTCATTTTGGGTAAATTTCTGTTTAGAGATGACCCAGCTGTGATCAATATTTCTGATGAAATGTCAAAGACAGCCTTGTGGAGGAACCTTCTGATTACTGCCGATAGCTCCAAAGATAAGGAGTCAAGCTTTCCTTCTAAAAGGTTTGGATATTAAAATCATGAGAATTTATATTCATTTCAGTCATTTTATAACCAAATCTATTAGAAATGAATACTATTGGTTTCCTTAAAATTCAAATCCAAAATACTTCAGAACACTTCTTTTTGAAAGTGCAAAATAAGTATGACAAATATTGATATGTTTTTCAACATCTCCCTTTCAAATTACAAAGTCACTCCAAAACTATCACAGTGGGGGAAATGGTGCTATAGATGAGTCCAATGCATGACATTTTTCAATGTTCATTTTGACCTATTTTTTTGCAGTATGGTTGTATTGTATTCTCTCTTCATCCACTGCCCAGAATCCCCTTAGATGTCTGTCCACATTTCACACTGCCTCATTTCCCTTTTTCAAACCAACATGGCACATGCAATGCTGATTTCATTTTTAGTGTATTTCTAGCCCCCTATTCCAAGTGACTGAAGATCTTCCCTACCAACATCATTACCCCAATACTTTCAGCATCTTGAAAGTTGGCTATCCTTACTTATCTATATGCAAACATGCAAACAACCCCTGTAGTTTTAAATGCATGAGGGGGAAAGTGTATCCTTAAATATTAAGAGTCATCATGGAATTTCCAACTGAATTTTTCAGAATTTATAAGCAAAAATTCAAACTATTAGTCTTAGATGGTGACCTAAAGAAAAAGGAATTCCTATTATGCTAAAATCTCTTCTTGTTAGAGGATTTGGAACAGTATTTACTGTAGTTATTAAGTTCCTTTATTTTCATAACCTTAAATTAACTTTTTCTACTTAATTTTTATATTACATTTTTGCCATAAGCTCCCCTTCCTAATCACTCTAGAAGCTGCTTCCCCAAAGGTAAGACCCTCTCCCTCAAATCTATTTCGTGGTTGCATTTTCTTATGTTAAATGGTGTCTTTTAGCAACTTAGTCAGCCTCTGTCCTCTATGTGAGTTTTGGGGAGGCAAAAGGCATGGAGAAACTTGGGCTCAGATCCAATATCAGACTGAGTTTTATTGTATGTTTAGAATTACTCAGCTATTTATGTGGATCTGAAACCTGAGTACATTTTTCCCTCCACAATTTATACAAATGCATCATATTTAAATCAACAAATTTCACAGAAATATATTTAATAATGGCATAAAATTTACAGATTGGGAAGGTAAAATTTTACCCTTTAATTAAGAAATTGCAAGCTGGTCAATTTATGCATCATCATGCATCCAAACCTGCAAGCTTTGTCTAGCTTCATGAGACATAATTGGAAATGGGCTACAGAAAAAGGCTACATTAGACTTGAAAAGTATATCTTATTTCTGTTTTTTGTCACCCCAAAATGGCATGTTACTGCTTCAGTGTCATCTCTATACTAAACAGTGTAAACAAGACAAATAGTGGATGTGTAGAGTCTTCACCCAAGACCTGGGGTGTTGTCTATTTCTCTCTCCTTTTCTCTCTCTCTCTCCTCCTCCCAAACTTAATCCAAAGGAGAGGTCTTCAAAAATTAATGGAAAACATATATTATGAAAACTCCTGAATATGTTTCAAAACATTCAATATTCTGTACCTAAATTATTCCATTTTCCATGATCTTTTTTGAATTACCCTCATAAGTTACTAATAGGCTCTCTCTAAGATGCTTAGTTGATATTTTCTACCTTTTAACAGGGCCTTTAAGACTTTCATGTATTTCTTCTCTTGGTTCAAACAGAAGCAATATTTTATTCTAAACTTGCTTTAGCTTCCTTTCCCAAAAGTTCCTGTCGTAGTGTGAAAGTCATCCTCAAAGTAATTCTGTGTTTTGCTAGCACTCTTAAAAGAAAATCAGAGTTGTAAGAAGGGTAGTTTCTCAAGCCCATTGAAATGTGTGCTTGTAGACCTTTTCACATTAATAATATGCCATTTCTCTGAATTTTAGAAATTGTAAAATCCAATTTGATGTACTTAAAACAAAATGCCAGCTATAAGAAATACATAGAGAATTTGAGATAATTAGATTATAGATTACTTTCCTTCCATAGAAGGATTCACACTCCAAATTTTTCCTCTTTCTTTGGTTAAACAAAAGTTTTTATGATATGATATCCATTAAAGTAAATAATAAAGTCAAGTGATGCTGTTCATCAGAAAAAGCTAGTTATTTTAAGAATACATGTCTAGGTTTCTTCAAACAGTAGATTGATTCTAATGAACAATGTAATGTGTGTTAAGCATATTTTAGATAAATCATCCCTTATCTTTTGATATAGCCACTTGTTTCTTGTTCTTTGGACAATATATTTTTCTTAATGACATGAAATTCAAATGAGTGTAGAATGAAAGTTCATCTAGCTTTCTTTACCTTTTTATATGAAAAAAAAACATAGTTTTCCATGTGAAAAACATCACTTGGTTTGTGGTAATGTCTTTCATTCTCATAACAGTGACAAAAAGGATATGGGTTCCGAAGATCCTAAGGCAACCAACATTCCTAACAGCAATACTTTTCCAAATCGATTGGTTTCTTTCAGAATCTTGGAAGGTTTTGAAGCATGATTACCAGAAATTGTCAAAAATTATTACCTGCTAGGGTATCTAGTTGCAAAAATAGGAATAAAGACTTGGTCACCAGGGTGCATATCTCTTGAGACCGAAACTGATTCCATGTAGCTTTTATACTAATTCCCTGGTTATTTTCCAACTTTGCTATTTGCCCCAGAGAAGCCCAGATATCTTCTTGGTGATGCTTAGCATAGCAGTATGTTTTTCAATGATTTCATTCACTTTTGGTTGCTAAAAATATTTTTTCTAGATTAAATGAATGTAGTATCTAAGAACTAACTGTAAATTCTACCACATGTATAGGATGTTTAGTTTCAGTCTTATTTAACCATGCTATACATCCATGTGACAAGCTCTTCCACAGCTTATGGAATGGATTGGTGGGAATAGGTCTCATTAAAATCTTCATTGCATCAGAAAAGGTGAGCAGCTGCTATGTTTTATAAAACCAACATCCACAATCAAAGTTTCTTGGGAAGAAGCAGTCAACACTAGAACAGCACTTGGTTTTGTCTTGGTGGCAGAGACAAGGCTCTGAAAACACCTTCCTTACTCCCCTCTGCACTCCTCACCATTTCCTTCTATCATGAATTCTTATTTATGCTGATTTCCCAGGGCTGGGCCTCTCATGACTGCTTGGTAAATATTGTTCATAATAACTATTTTATTGCCATTGAAAGATAAAATTCTCCCAGATTTCTCAGCAGCATGACACCATCAGGTCACTTTTTCCTCTCTCTTAAAATGTTACTTCTTCATATTTTAAATTGTAACTCCTTGAGGTCAGAGACAGTCTTACTCATCTTGCCCTCCTGGTCTTTGCACAGTACTTGTTTTGTAATAGATATGCAATATCTGTTCATTACCATGGGATTACAGATACATAATATGTATGAGGGGACCTCAAAAAGCTTACAGAAAAATTGAATTGAAAGCTATTGTAGAAAAAAGTATGAGAGGTTCCTCAAAAATTGGAAATGGAAGTACAATATCATCCAGCAATCCCATTCTTGGGTATGTATCCAAAGTATATGAAACTAATCTGTCAAGAGACATCTGTGTTCCTATGTTTATTGTAGCATTATTCACAATAGCCAAGAAATAGAAATAACCCAGGTACTTATCAATTGATGAATAGGTAGCAAAAATGTGAGATATATATGGAATATTATTCAATTATAAAAAGGATGAAATTCTGACATTTATGACAACATGAAAGTCATTATGTTAAGTGATATTAGGCAGTCAGAGAATGACAAGTTCTACATGATCTTACTCTGAAAAGATTGATCTCTTAAAGTTGACAGTTGAATGAAGTGGTTATCAGAAACTTGAGACATTGGTAGGGGAGGAGGGAAGATTGATTAATGGATAGTAAGTTTCAGTTAGATAAGAGAAAGAATTTCTGGTGTTTTATTGCACAGTCGAGTGACTATAGACAACAAATAAATACTATAAAAGAGGATTTTGAATGAATATTTTAGCTAAAACTATATGATAAATGTTTGAGGAGATGATATTTACCCTGAAATAAATACTGTAATTGTATACATGTATTGAGACATTACGTAGTACCCTACATTTTTTAAAAAAAGATTTAGTTATGTATTTGAAAGTCAGAGTTACAGAGAGAGAGGGAGGGAGAGAGAGAAATCTTCCATCCATTGATTCGTTCTCCAAATGGCCACAGCCAGGAACCAGACGATTCCTCCTCATCTGCCACATGGGTTCAGAGGCCCAGGGACTTGGGCCATCTGCTGCTGCTTTCCCAAATGTATTAATAGGGAGCTAGATTGGAAGAGTAGCAGCCGGGACATGAACCAGCAACCATATGGGATGCTCGGAATCATAAGCAGCAGCTTTTCCCACTACGCCACAGCACTGGCCCCGAAGTACCCTACAATTTTTATGTATCAGATAAAAAAGATAATATGAATTTTCTACGACTATTAAAGCTCCTTGTGTTTGTTAAAATGAAAGCTTAAAATTGATTGGAACTCAGAAAAATGAATATAACAAGGAATCCAGACAGCAATAGTCACACAGGGAAAAGATTCATATTGAGAATATTTTTTAGAGAGGTCTTTATCTGGTTATAAAGTTTCTGTTTGATAGTTTACTGAAATATAATAATACCAAAACCATTTTTTTATTCAGAGGGAAAAAAACTCAGCCTATTACTTGGTTATTATATACAACTAATATAACCAAGGCAGGATGTCAGAAGAAAATACATCTGTGGATCAAGTTGATGTTCTGAATTACTTTTTTCTTGGCTTGGTGCCAAGAAAACACTTACTTATCAAAAGCTTTTGGAACATCTCCTTTGTGCACATAATAATTATTGTGCACATAAGAATTTTGGTTGTATAGAGATCCATATGTCTCTGTCTCCACAATCTCTTATAGGTGGATCGTTAGTCTATCTTTCAAAACCGCTTATAGGAGTTGAGAATACTGGCCTCAGAGTTCTGTAATTTGAGCTACAAGAGACTCAGAGGCTGTCAAGTACAAAACTAATTTTGCAGCTGAATAAACCAAGTCTCAGAGAAATTAAGTAATTAGTTGAAGTCATATAGCTCACTCTTAGCTGCTGGAAACTGAACCCAGAACATCCAACTCCAAGCCCAGAACTCCCTCCACTGCCCTGTGCTGCCATCTTTCATGGGCTTTGTTTGTCAGAGACTGGCAGCCAGGTAAAGTGCAAGAAAAAGTTAATGTGCAAAGCAGGATAGCAGTTATTTGTCACATAAATGGAGCTTAAAGAAGAAAGTGAGTCTTACAGATAGAGGAGTTAAAAATACAGAGTTAAGGCTCTCAACACATCATGTGCACACTGTCATCTCTTCTCATGGAAGGAGAAAAGGAAAGGGAAAAAAGTTGCTTTGCTCTGACCTGTAAGGAGTATGTGCTGAGAAGTGTGGCAGGCATAAACCCGGGTGCCGTAGACACTTGCTCACACCAGCTCTCAGCACTGGCAGCGTGCCATAGATGGCAGAAGCTCCGGCACTTCTTACCTGATGGTGCCGGGTGGTGGTGACAACTGAGAAGGGCTGTTTCTAGCTTGAATTGGAGGAAAAACAATTTAAAAAACACACTCATAGAATGTTTCTGAGTTATTGACCACTAAGAAGGAAGCTCCATAGAAAAATGAAGTTTCACTACTTTATTACTTAGAGAAAAGTTATAAAACTGAGATTGTCCCCATCATCAGTTATCTCATACATTATATGGAGGGCTGATGTTAGCAGTAAAAATGTGAGGATTCTTGTAGCTCAGGGCCTCGGAGTATGAGTTGGCCTTGGTGTCAAGCAGCCAGGAGGGTCACAGGGAAGCCTCAGATGTAGAAGGCTTTGTCATATGCTAGAAGTAGCTTAGGAGTGAGCGACTCTGGAAGTACACACTCTTGGGATGAGCTTCATGCATGTGAGCACATTATAATTTCCCAAGAAAAATGTCAGTGTGCGAGTAGATAAAGTATACGTTGATTGGAAAAATATTGAGAAAGACAAAAGTGGTCGAGTCCTATCACCAGCTTGCCCATTGGTAAAATTGGTTGTAAGATGAGATTAAACAGTAGCCTTTTGGGAATGAGCTTATTCTACAAGAAATGAGATTTTAAAGTATCATTCCTCTGATTTCCAGGGTGGGAGTTTGTATGCAGAGCTAGTACAGGTATCTGGAGAGAAGTGTGCTGGGTGACCGATCCTCCAAACCAGGAGAGATGCACCTCTATTACCTGTGCAACACATTGCCCTCACCAAAGACCAAGATGCAGTCCATGCACAAGGGAAAAGCCACTTGTAGCAGAGCCCAGAAATACCTACTGTGACATCTTGTTTGTGTCATTTGCTAATGTTGGCACTGTCTTAAGATTGGGGCATGACTGGCATTTTCAGCAATCATCAATGATTCATTTGCCCAAATAAGCACCATGGTATTAATCTTGCATGCCTTTAGAATTGTTTTTAAGATGTCTGGTTTTTGTTTTCTAGTGTGTTTTTTAATTTCCCCCTCTCTGCAGTTCTTGGTTTGTATCTCACTGAGTGCGGAGAATTTTAATTGTTGCTATCTATCTATGCTTCGCAGCATGAGAGAGCAATGCCTAAGGGCTCTTGTGATGCTTTGGGGTTGATGGGTCTAGTGTCTGAGTGAGCAGATCTCATGGTAGCCAGGTTGGGTTGCAGTAATAAACTTCTTCTTCTTCCCCCTACAGCACCGAAAGCCGAAATGAGAAGAAAGCTGACTCAGGGAAAGGTGTTGACAGGGAGACTTGTCTATGACTGATCTTCAATTTATTTTTTACATAAATATGAGAAGAGTGTCACAATTATTAATACATCTGCTTTGATCATGTATTGTAAATTCTGTCTCTCATCCCAAATCCACCTCCATACTGTAAGTAGTGCAATACTTGTTTCATTTTTGTGTTTAAGCTTCTGAGCAGTGAGACACTGTTGTGAACAGATACAATAGCTAATGCAAGAATCTTTGTGTTCTTTGCTGTATGTTAGACATTTGTAAACACTGGATTCTCATTGTAAGCTTTATGAGAGCAGTAGCTTTCTTAAAGAGATAAGTCATATTTACCTAGTTTGTATTTTCCTACGTTAGTGACCTGAAGATGCCTGATAATTTCATTCAGAAGAATTTTGAAATGTAGTATTAATTCTTTTTATTTTTTCTAGCTTAGCATTAGTTACTTATTTCAGAAGACCCAAATCAAAAAGGTAGTTTGAAAGCATTTTTTAAAAAATTGTATTTATGCATTTCCTTGATTTAATATGATACATTTAATACTTAAGAATTTATATGGAACTGAAACTTAGAGTCGTTTGAAAAAAATACGTAGAAACCTGTTCACAACCTGTTAAAGAGAATCAGACACCGATATTAAGAGTCAAGAAATATTTGCTGAAAATTCAAGTCATGAGTACGTGAACAAATATTAGGCTTCTAGGAGATGCTTTAGAAAAACTTTGTAAACATTTTTTGGGATTTTCAATATAAACCTTTATCAGATACATGATGCTAAATTTCCCTCCCATTGACAATAGATGTTCCTTAAGTAAACCTATTCCATACATACTCATGGAATACCACATGGTGAATTGTTGTACATGAAATTCCACCTCTGTACAGTTGTTCTGCTGCTAATGGTCATATACTATACTGCTTGATACCGGTCCCAAATCATGTTCTAATGTTAAACAAACAGGTTTCCAATTGTAATTTTTTTCTTTCAAAGATCTTTTTCCACTTTTTAATTAAATGCATGCTGTGGAAAAACAATCTTTTAAATGGAAATTTAAGATTCTATTTGAGAAGGCTCTGTAGATATTTCAATACATGTGAAATAATCCATCTTTACTCAGCTTGTATAAGAGGAAGCAAAGTTAAGAATTTTGAGCATTATTAAAAATATGATATTTTATTTCATTTTAGATGAAGTTAATAAGGACTAAATCTCATAGTGCTCTTGGTGATCAGTGGTCATCAGCCTTATGATACTCAGTGTCCAACATCACAATAATTCAGAGCCCAAGGCTTTTACAAACTGTTCATTATGTATTCTGTGTAGAAGTGCACATGAAAAGTGAAAAAAATTATCTTTGTGATTAAAGTAATGTGGAAAATAAACCAAGAAAGCCTTCATTAGGTTCAACATTTTGATATCTTCTGAAAAATTGCTCTCACAATCCTTTAAGGAGCCATTTTTTTGATAGAATGTGAATCTAAAAATTATGGCATGGAGAATTTGCCATTTAAAAAGTTTATATTTATAAATGCTAAAGAAAAATACAGAAACTTTCTGTTCCAAATATGTTGCCTTTGTGAATTTCAGAATATAGATACTACATTGTAAACATTTCCCTTGTTTTATGATTTAGCCAGTCATTCCCCAAAGCAGTCTCCTAGTGTTTTAATATATTAATAACTTCTGTTAAAATGACCATGCTGAATTGAGATTTTCACGTGATCACCTATTTCAATAAGCAATCATATCTATCTAATGAAATTCCATATTTCTGAGTATTTTTATAGTCATTTTGTTCTTGTGTGAATTTTAATGCTATCCCTATGTTAATTCTAATATTTTGAAATCATATAAAATATAAGAAAAAATTAGTGTTATATATTTACTCCTAATTTCAGATTCTGGTCAAAATTACTGAATATCTTGAATGTAATTTATTGCAAAGTTTAAGTAATGTGTAAATGTGACTAGGATATTGTGTTTTTCACAACTAAGAAATGTTATGTGAAAATAAATATCATAACTAATTTCCTTGTACATTTTAAATTGTGATGCAATGTGTCTTGTCTTTGTTTTTCCTGTATGTTAATCAGTATATTGGTGTAGGACATTTTGACTGCCTGAAATATTTAAATTTAGACACTTCCACAGTTTTAAAAAACGATGATGTAGACATTTCATGGGTATTAAAACAATGTGAAGTTAATGAACAGAAAATTATGAGAACTAGATGAGGATGTATTTCCTTGTTTTTCCAGAGAATATTGTTTTGGGTGCATATGACACTCTCCTGTGATAGTAAAAGGTTCCAAGGTCAATATTAGGATTCTTCATTATTAGAACTCCTTAGTCTTCTATTTTTAACCCCCATGAGGAAAGCATTTCCTAAAATTTGTCTCCTTCTTGTTTGCTACAACAGTGAGATGGGACCATTATTTTTTTGTAGCCATTGGCAATGTGTTATAGAGATAGTAGTATTCAGAACTCTAACCTACTGGTTACTATTTTTCTCTTGACCAGGGACTTTACTTTGTAATTACTACTATATAACAGCCTACAACATTGGGAAACTTTTTTCTTAATATTATCTGAATATGTCTTGGGTGTACTTTAAGCCCTTTCTTGATAGAAAGAAACACTTAACCAATGATTCACAAGCCACCTGTATTTCAACACAATTCTTAGATATTTTAAGATTTTTCTTGGCTCATTTAAGTGTGACTGATTCTGTTTCCTATCTGCACTGACCTACTATTGTTTCAGTCTAACTTCAGCCTATTTACTCCTGGGTGTTTGACTATGATTGTACTCCAGAAGATTCATTGAGAAATGGAATTAAACCATAAGTTTATATGTACTTTCCATGCATTTTTGAAGACTCCCTCATATGCATACATTTTTAAAAATTGCCCCCAGATAAACTTACCTTTTAATTCTATTTTCTAGGAACTCATTGAAATAACCTTGTGTTTTACTATAATTGCAAGACTGCTCCCCAAATTTTTCAATATAAATATTTCATATATTCATACAATGAAATTAAATAAGATTACAACTATGTGAAATTTCATGAGAATAATTTGCATAATGTGATGAGTCTCTAAGTATCTACTTTGAGAGGCTAGCTGTAGTCAGAAACCTTATAATCAAGGTAAGACTTTTCAGACCTGTTATCTAGATATTTTCCATTGGAAGCCGTGGCAAACTGATAACAGTTGTCCCTCCAATTTGGTTTCTTGGTATGTTGAGCCCTACCATCTGTGCTGGAATTTTAAAAACAGGAGTATGATCCTTGCTTCTAGGGCAGGGTGAGTACATGGCTATAATCTAATATGATTTGTACTGAGCTGGTGATATGATTAAAGTGGTGAGTAACTCAAGGATAAAACTTTGAGTAAGGCCGAATTTGAGGAAAATGTCATAGAAGAGATAACATGAATTAGGATATAAATGGGGGAGGAAATGTATTGCAGGAACTGCAAAGATTCTAAACCCCATGTCAGTGTTGAAATAAACACAACATAAAAAGTAAAGGTGTATGGCATAGCTGGTGGAGCCTGGCAGAGTTCACATGTGGTACATTTGGAATCTGACAAAGAACCCAATATGGTGGGGTGTTAGGAGGAGGATGAAAACTTGTAAGAAAAGTACAAATATAAGTTGGAGACATTATAAAAGATGTTAAATTCTATACTAAGATGTTTGAACTATAACCATTAAAAACTTTGAGTAATGGAGAGATGTGATTTTTTTGGAAATATTGGTCTGGCCGCACAAAAGAGAATATACTGTTCAGAGTGGAATCATTGCCTTCACAATCTGCCCTCCGGAAGACTTTTAGGCAATCAAATCAACTCCCTGTGAGTGATCTAGAAATTTCTATTGGGATTAAAATCAAACAAGCTTGGACATACTGGATACTTAACAAGTGACTCCAGCCACAATAGCTTTATTATAATTTACATACATCATTCTTCTAAATAAAGATCATATGTGTATATGTATATGTATTTATAGACACACACATACACACACAAATATAGTTGTATTTGAGGAAACATTTTTTTTCAATTTATTTTATTTATTTGAAAGACAGAGTTACAGAGAGATGTAGAGCCAGAGAGATAGAGAGAGAGGTCTTCCATCCGCTGGTTCACTCCCCAAATGGCCGCAACAGCTGGAGCTGGCCAGGAGCCAGGAGCTTCTTTCAGGTATCCCACATGGGTACAGGGGCCCAAGCACTTGGGCCATCTTCTAATGTTTTCCCAGGCCATTGCAGAGAGCTGGATCAGAAGAGGAGCAGCTGGGACTCAAACTGGCACCCGTATGGAATGCTGGCATTACAGGCGGTGGTTTTACCCGCTACACCACAGCACCAACCCCAAGGAAATGTTTTGAAAAGCATAGTGCGAGCTTAGTAAGCCTGAGACAATGAAGTAAATCTAAGCTCAAAGTGTAGGACATGATGCAACCAATCTGGACTGTCATCAGAGTCCAGAAACCACCTTCCACTTCCCACCCTTGCACCTTAAGCTGCTCTTCCATCCTTCCTGTGGATCTAGCTTTGTGTTTAGTTCCTCTTGCCTTCTGGTGAGTGTATTCATAGGTTTCTGCCATACTACTTGTTTCTCCCATTTGTTGGTATGTTCCTTGGAGGTAGCCGCCCTCCTTCCTGACTCTCCAGGGTCCAATTCTGTGCCCTGCTTATTTACCCAGGCAGATTCTGTTGACAGAATCTCAAGTAAAATATATCAGAAGATGCTGCTGCTTGATTTGTTAAGAATAACTAAGATCTAAAAAAGATTCTCACTGACATATCAGTATCAGAACAAAGGCAGGTGTCCAGCACCTGAAGACATGAAGCCTAATACTAGAATCTGTGCAGTCCGTGGAGCCATAAAGGCAGGAGGAGGGGAAATGGAAAAAGAAGGTGCCAGGTGTTTTGTACAGGCAAATCTTCACAACTATGCAATAGTTCTGTGATCAGGTATCTTGTCCTGTTTTCAAATTAAGACACTGGAGTTCAAAGAGACTGACAGCCCTTCAGGAAATGCTTCTCGCTAGGGAACAGAGGTGGCAAGAATGCAAGCCCATTCCACCTGACCTTGGCTGCAGTGTGCTGTGTCTCCTGCTGGAACCAGCCTCCTCCTTATCTGGGTATTCAGTGGGCTCCCAGAACCAGAATCTGGTTACGATGAGTAATAAACATTTCTTCTTGATATGTTACATTTTATTCATCATCTACATTTCTGTGATTAACATCAGAAACCAAACCTACTCAATGAAATACTTTTTTTCATGAGACTCAAATCTCATAACTTTGGATAAAAGGAGGTTAGGTATATCATGTCACACTTCTCATGACACCCACACAAATTTTAAAATAATTAGACAAATGTAGAGAGTGGTTCAGATGAAAGTCTATATAGTTAGAATAGGAACTTTAAGTTTGTTGAAGTATAAAATCAGTAAGCAACAACAACAAAAAATACCCTTCTCAGAGCAGTAAGGGGATTTTTTAAAATTATTACTTTACTCCAATTCTTGGTTGTGAATGCCAAGAATATTGTCATACAAAGATGACATGTAGAAAGAGGATAAATTCCATTGGTCTTATTAACACCAAGCTGAGTTCATTGGGTGGTGATATAAATAGCTTTACTATCCCCATTTGTCCATTAGTTTCAACCATCTTTAATCCTTCAGACATCCTAAAGATACCCCATGTTACTCAGGTTGTAGGTAAAAATAATTCTTGGTTGCTTCTGAAATAACTCACAAAGTTGGCACAACAAAATTTACTTAATTTTTGAAAAACGTCATGCCTGTGTTGTTGGTGTTTTTTTCCAATCCTACATATTAAAGGGTATCCAGTAACTTACAAATCAGTATTCACTCATCAGCAGAGCAAAAGAAGCAATTGCCAAGAGGTGGAACTGACAGTCATAATGACCCCTTGTGAATAAGAAGGTAGTATGACATACTGTCTGCTGATCTCCTCAGTGGTGGCTCTGAGTCATCAAGGATGTGTTGAACTGTGTTCTGTGCCTGCTATTTAAGAAAGCATGAAAGTACAGAATCATTTTTAGCAAAGACTCCAACTAAACTGTTCAAAAATAATTTTAAGAGGAATTTCTTAAATTTTTGATAGTGGCTCAAAAAGCAAACCTGTATCCATAGAAGAGATGTGAACCATATTCCCCATGTTTTGCTGCATGTATCCCTGGTACTGGTGGGTCTGCAAGGTTGTTTATGAAAGGAGTTGTGGCCATCCACGATGCCCACAGTGGCTACAAACTCATCTTATTGGTGTGGCTAGTTCCCGTGTGTTTCAAATTTACCCTCAGGTTAAGTGTATTGCTAATGTATTTGCCAAGTTTCTTCCTTTCCCAATTACCTAATTTCAAAGTCTTATTTGAGAATAAACTTGTCCCATGAAGGTAAAATGAAAACTATGCTGACTTTATTCACATCAATGCCCTTTGTAACCTACATTGCAGGAAAAATGTGTGCTGGAATTTTTCATTATTCTGGGTTCCAGACAAAATATTTAGCAAGTTTAGAAACTAAAGAAAAGATAATTTGTATAATTTTGACATTGTATAAATACTATACAACATCTTAGATCTTATTTATAATATATGATATGCAATATCTGATATAATATCTCATAATGTAAAATATCTGATAGCATACAGCATCTGGTTTTAATTAAGATAAAAGGAGAATTTCTATTTCATTTGCTTTTTTTTTTTTTTTTGACAGGCAGCGTTAGACAGTGAGAAAGAGAGAGACAGAGAGAAAGGTCTTCCTTCCGTTGGTTCACCCCCCAAATGGCCTCTATGGCCGGCGCACTGTGCTGATTCAAAGCCAGGAGCCAGGTGCCTCCTCCTGGTCTCCCATGTGGATGCAGGGCCCAAGCACTTGGGCCATCCTCCACTGCACTCCCGGGCTACAGCAGAGAGCTGGACTGGAAGAGGAGCAACTGGGACAGAACCTGGCACCCCAACTGGGACTAGAACCCTGGGGTGCTGGTGCCGCAGGCAGAGGATTAGCCAAGTGAGCCATGGCACCGGCCTCATTTGCTTTTATGACTTGTCATGCTGTCCAAGATGTGAGCATATATTACCATTATTCCTGGATCTAGAATTCAGCAAAGATTGGGCCAGCTATTCATGATAATTGAACTGTGTTAAGCAGCAGAATTATGACAAGAACTCTGCAGGTTTGGATGTTGGTTTATGGTTCTAATGGTTGAATGTGATGTGATGCTTAACTAAGGTGAAGCATGTTCTGAAAAGATGAATGCAGTTAAAGCTGAATTTCACACAGTCCTCTGTTCATTCCTATGTGTGACTCACCAGCCTAATGTTGAACTGGTAGAATTTTTTTCCCCATTTCTTCCATTTTTAGACTTTTATGCTGTAGCTTACTCTGTCAGGGGTAATTTGTCTAGCAAGTGATCTGAAGCTGAGTTTAAATTAAAGCCAATTTTTTAAAAATTAAGCTACTTTGAAAACACTTGAAAGAAAAAAGTCATATTTTCTCAGTTATCTAGACATTGCTTTGTTAGGCCAAATTCAACATCTAAAATCTATGCTTTATTATGGCTTATCAACAAAAAATAACTGGCCATTTTTTTCACTTCTGAGCCATCAGAACTGCCAAGATAATATTTATTATCACTTGTTTATATGATTTGTTCTAATAATATAAACTTTATCATGGTTCCCTAGTCTAAAATTGTGAATTATGTATTTATCAATAGTCAACATTAGTTTGATTTCTCAAAAGTGTTATGCAATGATAACAAATTATGTATGTATTACACAAAAACTTTATGAACTGCTTACCTTAGCATATCTTTATTTATCTAATTTTTTACAAAGGCAAACTCTTTGCATGTTTAACAGGTAGCCTGGATTTCCTAACAAAAACAACAAAAGCCTTTCTGGAAAAATGTGTTCATATGCTGATGTGTTTTAGGTCCAATTCAAGACACAACTCATTACCTCTGAAAAAAATGAAGGCACATTTATTAAATGACCAAGATATATTCCACTAAGTGTAGAATGTAGAGCAAGAATAATACATAACATTCCAGTTTGCTTTCCATTTTTAAAAATGAATCCAAGTAAGTTAAAATATTCCTTTAATTACAATGCTCAAAGAAATGAAATAAGAAAAACTGATGCAAGGAGTCCTTCGAGTTAGGATTTGCAATACAAATATTTTCATCTTTTAACAGGGCAAGCTGATGTGTTCACATCTCAGTTCCAAGCTGCCTCTTGCAGTAGGAAACATCAGTATTTTTAAAAAGCACATTTACAATGCTTTCCCATCACCCTAGCTGTGTTTTTGTAGCACCTATAGCCATAACTGGCACCTGGGGGCCTTGCATTGCTGGCAGTTTCCCTTGCATTTCTTTGGAGCTTATTCAACTGCTGTGGTTTTACTTAGAAGTCAGAGCTTTGCATATATGATTTCCTGAGACTGTTTGAATAGTCTTTCTCAGAAAACTGTGCCAGTCTGGCTGTGAACAGCTCTTCTCCAAGGGGAGCTGACAGTAGCCTGGTCGGGGTAGTATGCTTGGACTTGGGTTTCCATCCATGCCCTGCTATCTTCTCTCCTCAGTCCCGTTTTTGGTTCCTGTCCTGGTGACATCATTGCCCACATCTTGCTATCCCTTTAAAGAAGGGAACAAGATTTGGACTAGTCTAATTAGAAAAAATTAAAATGCTGCCCAGGGAACCTATACAAAGTTCCCGTGAAAACATTCACATTCGTTGTTTCAGCAGCTGACATGGCAGTGGTATTAGATGATAAACAAAACCAGACCGAATAATTGAAACTTCTGCATGGTAATAATCTATTGGGAAGACAGAAGTCTCTATTATCATTAAAGGCGTGACATTTGAGAACAAAGGTAATTTTAAATTTCTTGATTTGATTGTATTTTTAAAAAGATCATCATCAGTGCAGTTTTGAGATAATGAGAAGGAAAATGGTTTTCAATAAGCTGTAAATGGCATGCAGTTTTGAGGTGCTAATGTAAAGAGAAGCATTGTTTTATGAAGTGGCTCATGTGGGTATAGATATGTTGGTGGGCTGTGCTGCTATCAATTCCATGGTCTTCATCGGTGTACCACTAGAGAGAGAGGAAAAGGTCAAAATTAGGAAGTCAGCTGTGTTTTCTTAACAATAAATTCAAATAAGTTCTCCTGAGCAAATGTGGTATAAAACAGGGTGTTTCCATTCCTGAAACAGTTTATAAGTGGAAATGTGGTAATAGAGGCTATGTAGTTTCCCCCAGAGCTTTTCCCGGCACACTGCTCCATGCTCCAGAAGTCTCTGCTCTTCTTTTTGCAGGTGCTGAGAGAACTCACTGTGAATTCAGTGGATGTGTACATTTTAATTGGAACACACAAATCCATTTTCAAATTTGACTCAGAGTCACAGCATGTATAACAAGGAATATTTATCCCTTTAAACCCACTTTTTTTAAATTAAATATTGTCAAGTATTAAATCTCTCTTCTTTTTAGTAAGAAACGTTATATTACATAAATAAACTTTTAAAGAGCAGATTCTTCCTAATGTACATCAAA